AGTATCCTTATTATTTTACTAAAAGGTTATAACATATATAATCAATATTTTTAATGTGATATCTTGAGGGACTAGCTTTTCAATTTGAAGATTGAGATTGCTGTTATTGTCAATTTCTAATGAAATGAGGAAAATTCTCTGAATATGTTTAGATATTTCGTAATGCGTTAGGTGTATTGTGTACTCCTTTCAAGACGAACTATTTATTTTTTCACAGATTTAAATCATGAGTCAGTTGAAGCTAGACCACCATTGAAAACCTGGAAGCACTGGACGGCCGTTTCGTCCTAGTACGGGACTCCTCAGCAGTGCGCATCCACGATCCCGCACCACGCGGGGCTCGAACCCAGGACCTACTGGCTTCGCGCGCGAGCACTTAACCATTAGACCACTGAGCCGGCATCCAACGGTGTTAATGTCTAATTTCAACCAATCCACGAAGTTGCGCCACCATATACCATTGTCTTCAGTGAGCTGATATCTCACAACAGACCTGGTTGAACTCCTGGTAACGGCTTCCCACTAGAAATCCAGGAGTATCTCTTGAAGTCAGTCACTAATGAGCAGATGATTACTATCAGAAGGGGTTTGTGCTTCCAGGTTTTCAATAGTGGGCTAGCTTCAACTGACTCATGATTTAAATCTGTGAAAATTTCTAAAATCTCCACAAACCCCTTCTGAACTATTTATTGACAGAACAATTTAGACTTAACTATAAGTGTTTGCTATTTAATTATTCAGTTTCTCAGGTTGGATATAGTTTACAACCAAATTTATATTCATTGATTTCTCTAGTTAAATTATAATAGACTGTTGTTTATTTACACACTTTTTAAGTTTGTTAGTAGGGTGTGTTATGTCGGGAATAATAACTGTTATTGGAATTGTATACAAAGTAACAGTTCTATTACTTCCAAAATCGACTATAGTAGAAATTTTTTAATTAAGTTTTCACAGGACTTACATTTGTTTGATATACCCGAATAAAGTTTAAACGTATATACGGATAATTCATTATTATTTAGTACACAATACATATTCGATGCTTCCTGACTTTAGGTAGTTTCTTTTTATTAAAAATTCGATATCAGTTCTTGAATCAAGACTGTTTAAGAATTACTCAACATATTAAACACCATACTTTTCACTGAGAAAATCAAGTATAAAACAAATAAGTGATTATTCGATCACTAAGTCACTAGATTTTTTAGGCTTTAATATGATCATGTTAATGTATACAATAATAAATGAAAAGATAATTTGTCAATTAGCCATTACATGGCTACAAATTACACTTTAAACAATAATCATAGTAATACTATGATGTTTATGGTAATGAACATTGTGAAAGAAACAATTTACAATCGTGTAATAAATATCAATCAGACTATAATTGTATTTGATAAAAGGCATGAAAATGGATAAAGAAATAAAGGTTATTTCAAAGGATAAAAAACCCACAAATTTATATATCTATCTATCCGTTTATATCTGTCGAATATTTGTTCTTACATTTAAGTACATTTATTAAGTGGGAAATATACTGCAGTTGATTCATTATTATTCAGAATAAAGCATTTCATTACTTATTTAATTCTGAACAGCTTATAGTAGTCGAATAATAATCTATAAAATATGTCTACTTTTTTAAATCTTGAATTACTACTGATTAAACTTGTAGTAGAGACATACTGATCAACGATTTTATTGTTTTCATCGAGGATAAAGAAATCAATAATTAGAAACGATATCTCACTCTGATGTCAAGTGTAATCTAACTGAACATATTTAGACTTAATCTTTAAGATAAAGTTGCCGTCTTCATGATATATATTTTTCTCTACGTTTCCACCCTTTCCGTTTTCCCAGTTTTTCTGTTTTCTATCTTTACTAAGTTACATAAATATCTTCCCAACTATCCAATATACCTAAATCACAGTGAGTTTAAATTTGTCCTATTTCACAATTAAGAAAATATTTGAGCCTATTACTGAGTTTTAGTTGTTTTGTTATTTACATTATAAGCATTCAAAAACAATCATTTATTTCATAACCTGGTAAATTGACCTTACCAAAACTAATCATCTATACCACTGAATTCTAATATTACACAACCTGCTGTGACTTTATGTCCGGCTTTTTTATCACGTGATTTATTCACCAATCAAAAAGACGACTTATACAATCTTCGCACTGTGCCAAGCTAATGACATTCGACCGGTATGAGCAGTCTAACGTCCTTATTGGTCCTATGTCCGCCTAGCCCCGTCCACTTGAGTCCAGAACAGCAATACCAGCTCCCAATATGCGAATCGAATCGAATAATTTATTTCAGACATACTGGGTCTATATATATCAAACAAACAGAAATAACATTTGCACACAATAAAGCCAAAAAGTGACTGTGAACGTGGGAGGCAGTAGTCAATAAACTGAACACAGCTTAAGAACAGTTAATCTTACAATAGTAAATTATAGGTAAAAATAAAGCTTATAATCAGAGAAATATAAATATACATAATCTAATTATTGAATAGTTATACCATAAGAATGTATAGATAATATTAGTCAATTATTATGTCTTAGGAGTTACTCGTGATTTAATCTTCACTCGGATATAACACAACCCCTAATCGGAATCCAATTTAATCCATTTCGAATTTTTTCTTAAAATCAGACATTTATCATCTCACGTTACAATCCATTCTCACTCCGTGTAATATATTCAATGTTAGCGCCTTTGTCAAAGTTGATTGATAATTTACTTATGAAATTAATTCACAAATTTTTTTCGAGAAAATTAAAATAATGTTACTATTGAACTAGATTTCATTAAATGTCTGTATTTCCTTATCTTCTGTTGTTGTATTTTTAGTAAATATTCACTTCAGTCTTAAGTGGAAGCAAATTTGAATGACCATATTTCCTTAAAGATTCATTTGTTAGGGTTTTGACTGAATTCTTAAGCATTTTAAGATCTAATGTCTGTAATTTTAAAACCGTTAATAATCATTGTTGTTTTAATTGTTTGTTATTTTCTAATGGGGTTTATTTATTTAGGATAATAAAATACATATTAGGATATCAGTCCGACTTTTCACAGTTATAATCCTTCGCTGAGATGGTTGAATAGTATTATAGCAGTTGTCCTCACTTAGTCTATTGATCTATTATCTAATATGTTTGTATTCAAGCAATAGTATTTGGTTTAGTTTTTAGCTGTACTCAACTGCTGTTCATATGATCATAGACTAAAACTCATTTCAACACAATCAGTGGTCCTTATCATAGTATGCCAACTTACGTCTGTTACCCCTAGTGTAGAAGCATAGGCCGCCCACCAGCATTCTTCATCCAACCTTGTCCTGGGCAGTCTTTTCCAGTTGCTATTATCCTTTTTCATGTCTGATTCCGATCCTCAACCCAGTGTGTTCGGCCTTGCTCTTTCCCATTTCCCTTCAGGATTCCAATTTAGCGCATGCATTAATACAGGTTGGTGTTTTCCGTAACGCATGTCCTATCTACTTCCGACGTGTTTTCCTAATTTCCTCTTCAGTGGTGAGCTGGCTTATCCTCTCTCACAGTAGTATGTTGCTGTTGGTTTCCGGACGACGGATATTGAATATCTTGTGTAGATAACTGTTTATAAATACTTATACCTTTTTGATGATTTTTGCAGTAGTTCTCCGCGTTTCAGCTCCGTGCAGTAGAACTATCTTGACGTTTGTATTGAAGATTCTGGCTTTGATATTGGCTGACGGTTGTTTTGAATTCCATATGTTCTTCAACTGTAGGAGTGCAGCCATTGCTTCACCAATCCGCACCTTTACGTCTGCATCTGATCCTCCTTGTTCATCGATGATGCTGCCCAGGTACATGTAAGTTTCTACATCTTCTAGTGCTTCTCCATGAAGTGTGATGGGTTGGTGTTCTCTCTGCTGTATTTAATGATCTTGCTTTTTCCCTTTTGTATGTTGAAGCCTACTGATGCAGAGACTGCTGCTACACTAGTTGTCTTCATCTGCATTTGTTGGTGTGTATGGGATAAGAGAGCTAGGTTATCTGCGAAGTCCAAATCTTTAATTGATCTCGAGCTTGATAATCCAGTCAACCATCAGAAGAAAGAGAAAGTAGAGTAAGCAGCCTTGTCTGACATCGATGCTTACTTGAATGTATCTGTCATTTGTCCTCCACTGACGACTTCACAGTATAGTCTGTCTTGTGAATTCCGTATGATGTAAACAATCTTTTTATGTGCATCATATTGTTGAAGAGGGTTCCATTATGTTCTATCCATTCTGTGAAACGCGTTCTCATAGGCAAGGAAGTTGATGTACAGTGATGAGTTCCACTCAACATGTTGTTCAACGATGATTGGTAGTGTCACGATTTGTTTTGTGCACGACTTTTCCTTACGGAATCCGGTCTGTTGACCCTAAAGCTGGACGTCTACTTAATCTTCCATGCGGGAATATTGTCCCGTCTATAACCAATTTGTTGGATGCACATAGGTTTGCAAATTTCTCCTCATTTTCGTTTCTCTCTCATAGTCCATGTCGTCCCATGCTATCTTCATATCGGGTGTTGTGCATTCCAACTTTGACGTTTAGGTCTCCCATCAGTATGGTGATATCCTTTCTTGTGCAGTTCTCTGTAATTGATTGTAGCCTCTCATATAACTGATGTTTGTTGTCGTCGTTGTTATAATTGATGGGTGCATAGCATTGGATAACATTCATTGTGATCCTCTCCTTCTTTGTTTTGACGGATGCTTTGATGATTCTGGATCCATGAGATTCCCATCCTATAAATGCATTACCTGCTTCTTTGATAGCATCAGAGAAACTCCGTGAGGGATTGGCGTATACGTTCATGCAAATTTTTATTTCTTATAGTTATTCTGTACAAACATTAATCATTGTCATACATTTAATGGCATTTTATATTCCTCGTATCTTTAAGAATTGTTTATCTGAAAATTGTTTCTTTCGTTTCCTTAGGTACGTATTGCAACATTAGATTGTGTATCTGTGGTAGCCTATCATCTTGGTACTGATAATTTGGATTGTTTACGAGCTGTTGTATCCCAAGCAGATAATTTCTTATTAAAAACTGCTGGGAATTTTTTACAACAATCGTATTTAGAAAAAGATAATCATCAAAATTCAGATTCAAAATATTCAACATTAACAGAAGCTGTAAAAAAACGATTGATTAAATGTCAATTACCACAGTTGGATAGTAATTCACGTGTGATACGAACAAATAATTATAATAATGTGCCTGGTGCGTCGATATTAGTTAATACACTGGGATTAAGTTCAAACCAGAATACAGATTCACATTTGAAATCGCATATTTCCACTGACGAAGGTATTACTACCAAAACACCTAGAACGGTTTCTGTTGTTCAACCGTCAGAATTTTCAACTTCTACAACTCAATCGGATATATTGTCAAACCCGTCAATAGCTGAGAAAGTGAAATGTAAGTTGAGGTGTTTCTGTTTTTATCGTTAAATGTCTGTTTTACTACATCCGTTAATATTTTACACTGAGCATTAATCGAGTCTTTACGGAAACTGGCTATTCATGACATTCTTTTACTAACGATCTCTGACTTAAACTCTGAAGTCGTTTAGGCCCATTCAGTCTAGTGTTATGTCATAATGCACGTTCAATTGTTTGGTGATACAGTCCTATCTCTGCTTGATGTAACTATCTGATAATCTGATCTCCATTTATTCCACGTAAACCACTGGACTCTAATCTGGTACTTTTACAAATTGAACTGGGAAAGGCATCTACAAGTATCCATCGGGTCAGTTTAAGTTCCATTACTCTGAATTAACGGTAATGCCACTAGACATAAGGTACAGTACACCAAACCTTAGGACACTCCGTACTCTTGTGAATCTGTGAGTTTCAAATGCTTTTTAATAGATAGGAAATTTTTGTTATGCCATCTCACCTTAGTTTGGGTAGATAAATCAGTAACCCATTTTGTTTACCTGTTTCTGTGATCTCTACTTTGAAGATCTTCAAGTTAGACTTTGGGCATTACTAATTGAAATTAAGAGAATCTCCATCACTCGTTTACGGTGGTAATTGTGATTGGGCGGAATGTGTTAAAATCTAAGAGATTCTAGTTTAGAAGTTTAGTTTTTATATTCTCTTATTTGTTTTTATTGTATGTAAACCAGTATGTGAAGTGAGATACTTTATGCGATAGGATATAAAGATTATATTATAAACTTTTATCTGGTGCATATTTATGTCTCAAAGTCGGTAAATTATCAACAGAAGATTTTAAGGGTTATTCAGTCATCATTTGTGAGATGAAATGTGACTATTAATTTAACGTAATTTCTAGCCATATTGGCAATGTCTTTCTGAGATGTTGTGGTATGGTTAACTTAGCCGTTGTTGATGACTGGCAATAAGAATTGTTATAAGCTGCGAGCAAACGCATGGTAAAATAGAATTTGCACCTAAGTGGTTAACCGATTGATGTTGGGTTACCGAACATTGATCACAATATACTGTAATAGGCATTGACTGACACTACCTGCGTTTCATACAGTCATAAACCTTATGAAATATTGGTTCGATAAGTCTTTGTTTAATGTGTCACTGAAATACTTGACTAGATGGTTCCCACCTCTTTACGAAATACCTTGGTTTTAAAATGGAATACCTTCAAGTTATTCAATTAAAGTAATTACGCTAGCCTATGCGAATTTGGTTTCATCTTTAAATTCCCACGAAAATGTTTAAATGTTTGGATCTCATTATGTACAATTTCATTTCGATATGTATATTACATGCTAACCATTTTACAAAATGTGATATTTAGTAGGCAGTTTTATGCCTATCTTTTCTGTATTTAATTACATACTCCAGTTAAGTCATTCATGGTAAAAAAAAGACTGGTACTGATGTGTATCGGCTCAATTTGTCAAATCTTATATCAGCCCAGTAAGCAGGAAAATGAAAACAAAAGAAGCTAAGAAGAGATTTACATGTATAAAATACAGTTCATAAGGGACAAATAAATTTTGTTATAAAAAAAAGAGAATCATGGAATGTCATTTAGATTTACACGTTTCATTATTCAATAAACACCAATAATAGGTAAATTCATGAATGATATACTCCGCCTACGATCTTGGTAAAATCGTTTATACCAATATAAAGCTGTTGCTTGTTACGTAAGTCTTTATTTAAGCAGCATTTATCAAATTAGTGTTTCTCCAATCCTCCTTTTTTGCATTGATTTTTGTTTTTCTCTCACGTGTTTCAATTTACCTGTTGTTAATATAGAAACTTAATTTATTTATTCCATTCTCGTCACCGTCTTATGTTTTCTTTCTTCCTCTTTCTGTTTTTTTCTCATTTAATCAACATTATCTAAAGCTAACTATCGTCGCCGACCTAGTGCTGGTTTAACACACAGACAAAAACAACTCCCATGGGATCCAAGGATCAGTATTGATTTGTCTAATTCATATCCGAGTAAAAAGTCATCACGTTTAATTCGTCGTAATTCTAATTGTAGTTTATTCACTGTCAATAATTCTAATAATTTACCAATTAAAAGCAATCATATTTCTAATCATCTTGTAAACAGTATTGAAAATGATATGGTAAGTTAATAAATAACGATAACTTGTTGTATTTAAAAAAAACCTTTCTTAAAAATTATCGGTTGATGTTGTATAGAGTTTGTGTAGTGAGCAAGAACTCAGATGGGGAAGACCAATTTATTATTTAATGCAAAATTACTGAGTGCTTTGGTAAAATATGAAAACCATATATTGTGTTCCTCATTTGCACATCTTCCATCAGTTTTTTTTAATATAAACTTCGTCGTTCTTTTATCCCAGTTATTGCAGTTGTTTTCTGTTTCCATTTTTGTTTTCTTCAATTCGATCTTCTCAATCTTCTACTGCCAGGCATCCCACATCTGATTGGTTTTACATACTACTTATATCTGTCAACATAAGTAGCATAAGAAAATGTTTTGAGTTTTCAGATGATGCTTGAATGGAACTGAATGAATGCATATGCGTGTATTAATTAAACGATATATTCGTTGACTAGGGTTTAAATGAATTAATTTTTAAAAGGAAGTCACATACACATTTAGGATCACTTTAGATATGAAATAATAAACTGTTAAAAATTGAGTTGAATAAGTCACTACTGAATTTCTGATCATTGTTACATTCTTCTATATCTAGTAATCTTTAATCTTAATTATCTTTAAGAGTAGTGTGAATAAGAATACAACTGTGTTGTCTTCAGTGTATCTCTAGCTGATACCGATCTGTTACAAAAGTACTATATACTTACTTACTTACTTACGCCTGTTACTCCTAATGGAGCATAGGCCGCCGACCAGCATTCTCCAACCCACTCTGTCCTGGGCCTTCTTTTCTAGTTCCATCCAATTCTTGTTCATTTTTCTCATGTCTATTTCCATTCCTCGGTGTAATGTGTTCTTTGGTCTTCCTCTTTTCCTTTGACCTTCAGGATTCCATGTGAGGGCTTGTCTTGTGATGCAGTTGGGTGCTTTCCTCAATATGTGTCCTATCCACTTCCAGCGCTTCTTCCTGATTCGTTCCTCCACTGGGATCTGGCTTGTTCTCTCCCACAGTACGTCGTTGCTAATAGTGTCCGGCCAACGGATCTGAAGTATTTTGCGTAGACAACTGTTAATAAACACCTGTATCTTCTGGATGATGACTTTCGTATTTCTCCAGGTTTCTGCCCCATACAGTAGAACTGTCTTGACATTTGTATTGAAAATCCTGACCTTGGTGTTGGTTGACAGTTGCTTTGAATCGCAGATGTTTCTAAGTTGTAAATATGCTGCTCTTGCTTTGCCGATCCGCGCCTTCACATCTGCATTAGATCCACCCTGTTCATCAATGATATACTATACTATACTGCATTAAATTTATTTTGAATATAGTTAGTAATCTCGGTTTATTTCTGTGAGTTGAATCTTGTTACTTCTATTTACTGGTGTGCGGAAAAAATAGTAAGGTTGTGAGCTGTAATAACTACTAAGTTGGTCATCATATTTTGTTTTTGATGTTTTTTTAACTTCGAAAAGCTTTGAATCCATTTCTTATTTTTTTGTAAGGTTTGTTGTATATTGCATCTTAGAGACAGATTATTGAGTGAGATATATTTTTCAGCGACAATTTTTCACGATCTTGACAGTCAATAAATTGATTAAATGGTTGTACGGGAGTTGTTGGTTAATTTTAGGCTTAATAATAATATATTGTTTAATCCGTCGTCATAAACAATTCTCTTCGGTGAATACGAAATTTAACCTGATAATAAATGTAGTTTTTTGTATTGCCCAGTCGCTCCTTGTATTTAGTCCCGACTGTTTGGACCGGAAAAAAAAATGCAGAACCACATTTTTTTAACTTTATAGAAAAATCTAAAAGCTCATTGTTGAACATTGAGAATTCAGTCACTAATGTCACTCATCTAGTCTTTTTCTGCAGAATTTTTTAAAAATAATTAGGCCTTTTAATACAATTTAGTAGTTTTACTCCTTGATGTAATATTTACGAACTAGTAATAACCTGGAATCCAAGTCTTAGCATACATGCCTTTGAGGCGAACTCAATAGTCCAGATGCACTTGGTGTGTTTTTAATACATCGCAAGTTCATGTACTCATTTTTGTGAAAATTGAAATAAAACATAAGTGTGAATAATATTGCTTTCAATCAGATCATCAGGTTTTATTGTTATGTACAGGAATATTCGTGTGAAACTTTCCATTCAACAAATTCAATTTGAGTCAGTAATCACAATGAAATAGAATGTATAACTACTCATAATAGGTAAAAAGTACAAATTGAAAGTAAGAAGATATGTGTACTAGTGTAACGGATGCTACTCACAAGATTGAATGTAAGTGGTATGTATCAGAATGTGGCGTCGAGGTTGTCGCAGTCGTTAGACAGAGGGAACAGTTTCAGTGCATCAAAAGCACAGCGTAAGCAGAACAGTTGTTGAATCTATAAGAAGACAATTTTGATTGTAAAACACACCACAGGAAGTAAGTGCATTACCAGAGGTTATGTATCCGTATTATATATAGGATGCACATATGTCAATAAAAGACTGATCAATTGTATTCCTAAACATCAATGCGAAAATTCAAACAAACAATACAAAAATGAATTCATGCTAGGAGATGTTAATTCATTCCTTGATTATTTTGTCTGCTGGTACGCCCAGTGAAGCTATCTCTTCAGAAAGAGCTGGATTTTTGGATGAGCATTAAGGGGACCAACTTATGTATTTTATGCTTTGTGCGACTAGATATTATTGGTTTGCTAGGAAACGTCAATTCAATGTCGGCTTCGTAGAATGTCCTATTCACTGCTCTTGCCAACCTATCATGTTGGGCATCGCTAGTCACATCCCTGTTGAATTTTGGTTGGATATTTCCAGCTGATTTTTTCCTCTGTATATGTAATTTTTTGAAATCTCGGACAGCCGAAATCCGTCAGAATGCAATTGATAAACTTCAACGTCTTTATAATATCATTTGAACAGATCTTTTTTCTCTGCTTGTGTGACATCTGAACAGATTTTTTGTAGCGGATGGGTGTAAAACTCTAGAAGTTTGTATTGCAAAGCTGAGGAGCTCTTTCCATACACGTTCCTACTTCAGCCGTCCCCCTAACTACTTAATGAAATGTCAGAGAAATTTAATTTCGAATTCATCCTCACCATTGAAAGCGATTCCCTGATTTACACTGTTGAGCTGATTTCGTAGCTCTTTATTAGTATTCTGACTTGCGATAATGTGTTTCATAGATTTAGCTTTAGTGTAGATCTCGATTTTAGTACATGAATATTTATTGTCCTATTTACTCGCTTAAAATAAAGTAACCGAATCAAGATTCCAAACCTTTGACCCATTAGGTGAACATTAATCATTTTGGAGTAAACACCATACCATTAGTTCACATATTCCCTTATAATTTCGTATAATTTATTCCATTTTCTCATCACTTTCACTGTATGTCATCTTCAGTTTGATTACTTTTCAGATTTACTCTTCTGATTTGTAACTATTTGTTTCAATAGTTTGTGTTCTCAGTTGACTACTATCGAAGTACTAGAACATTAATTGTCCTAGTTAAAAAAAGAATAGGAAAACAAACTTTTCTTAATTCATTCACATATATATATATATTATTAATTAGTTTTAGATTTCATAAGTTTTGATCATTAATATTTCACTACATATTATATTACATAGCTTGTGCATTTTATGTAGTCATTTGTAGAAAAAAACATTGTTTAGCGACAGTATCATTTTTTACTCAATGTGTTTCTCTCTGCCTGTTTAATTTATGACATATATATGTGTACATATGCCAGTTTTGCGTGATTTAAATAATGTTAGGCAAGTATTTATTGTCAATCGTTTTTATTTTAGAAAGAAAAACTTGAGAAAATAAAGTTAGAAAAATACCAAACGATATATTTTTTTAAGAATAATAGGAAAAGGAAATACACTAAACAGAATTATGGTAATAATGAGACCAGTCAATCATATATAAAGAAAGATATATTCATTATATCAAAATGGGGATTTGTGGAGATTGTAGTAACTTTCATGATTGAATTCATGAGTCGATCTAAGCTAGACAACCATGATCGTTTCGTCTCAGTACGGGCCTCCTCAGTACTGCCCATCCACGATCCTACATGCCGGACTCGAGCCCAGGACCTCCGGTCTCGCGTGCAAACGTTTAAACTCGATCACTGGGCAGGCATCCGATGGTGTAAATCTTTCATGAATTCAACAATCGTAATTACTACAATCTCCACAAATCTCTATTCTGATAATAATCATATGCTCACCAGTGACTGGCGTCAAGATGGGTTTCCTGGAGTTCTAGTGAGTAGCCATGACCAATGGAGTCTAATCTGTATCGAATGTGATAAAGTTATCCGCCTCACACAAAGGATGAGGGGTTGTGCAAGATCATGTTTCTATTAAAGTTAGAGATTAACACCGTTGGATGCCGGCTCAGTGGCCTAGGGTTTAAACGTTCGCGCGCGAAACCGCAGGTTCTTGTTTCGAATCATGGGTACGAGATTTTGGATACGCACTGCTGAGGAGTCCTTTACTAGGATGAAATGCGCGTTAAGAAATAAAAACAAGTATTCTACAGAGGAAAAATTGTTTCCCGATTAGTTTATTTTCAAATTCCATGTAAGGCTGGTTATAGAAAAAAGCGGACTTATCGACGGACCAGTCGGAGTTAAGATTATCTTGGCCTCCACTTCAGGTTAATCTTGTCAGTCAGAGTATTTCACTAAATAAAACCTAGGATTTCAGGCTATAGACGAAATACACTTGATATTGTTTTATTTGAATCTTCCCATTGATGTTTTTGGACTGAAATTGATCAGTCCATCAATCCATCTTTGCTTACAATGCTTGTAAATTAAGGCAATATCGAGGCATACGCACAGTATGCACATATGCCAATAAGAGACTGATCAATTTCAGTCCAAAAACATCAATGGGAAGATTCAAATAAAACAATATCAAGTGAATTCAACTTCAACCCATTGCACAAGCAAGTGGCTATCAGGACTCAGTAGCTAAGTGGATAACGCGATGGCGTTTGAAGCGAACGGTACTGAGTTCGAGTCCCAGGGTGAACATCAACTCTGAGATGCAGGTACATCCAGCTGACGAGTCCCAAATAGAATGAAACGCGCGTCCTGGATTCCACTGCTAGCCACTATCCATCTTTGCTTATAGACGAAATAGTTTTTGCAGGGTAAAGAAATATTACAGAATTCTCATTCACATATAGATATCAATGAACAACGTATTCATAAGAATATCGGTGTCAAGTTACTTAAAAACTTATCCTTTAGTCATACTGATTTCTTAATGATTTCGGATTATATATCCAACATGTTGTTCTCAATCAAAGTTACATATCTGCCAGTTATATATGTTTAAACCTGCGAAAACTAATTCCAAGGTATGACTCTTCGTTTTCATGATTTTGTACCAGTAAAGTATGAATTATAAACTATTCATCCATGTTGATATGATTACTGGTTCTGGAAGTTTAATACTAATCGCTTTCAATACTAGTACAATGCAATGATCCATTAAGCTATTGAGTCACTATGTTTCATGTACCACAACTTCTCCAAATTTATTAAATAGAAATTTCTATCATCCTATCATCTGTTATTAATTATTAAATTTCATTGTTTTTTCGATGTTTTTATTTTTATATTTTATCAAAGTTTCATTCACTTCATTAAATCTTTGTTTTAGTCAGATGTTAGTGTTGTTCGCTAACTTTACTATTTTCTCTTTTAACTTAATGTGTTTTTTCTTCATTATATTATGTAAGGGTTCCTAATTTTTATTTGTTATTTATTTTTTAATAGTCATTATCTTATCCCTTCCTTTTGTTAACAATATATTATGGTTGTTTTATTCATTCTCTTCATATATATGAACATAGATTCTATTTCTGTTCACTTTTGATTTCCTGTATAGACATGAATGTATATATATATATATATATATATATATATATATATATATATATAAAGTGTTATTTCTTGAAGATTTTCAAAAAGTTTGCTCATTATTGTTGTTAAGCAGTAGTGTAGGAGTAGCTGGTATATATCGTCTCATAGAGAACAATAAATAAACCCTACTACTGATACTCTTATTACCATTGTTTTATGATTATTATTATTATTGTTATTGGTACTACTACTGTTACTACTACTAGTACTATTGTTATTATTATTATTATTACTCTGACTATTTCTACTGTTGAAAATGAAAGAAATCGTTGATGAGATGATAAGTTTTTATTCATGTTTCAAAAGTATAGTTATTGTTGTTTTTTTCTTCTTTTAGTTATATAAAACAGGAAACAATGAATGTCTGTAGAAAAAACGTTTCATGGAATTCAGTCAAGGATACTGTGTTTTCTACTAAGAATAATATATATATATATATATGTACTTTTCAAAATTATAACGAGCTAATCATATTTTTATCTATACTGGTTTCTATTTTCATTTCTGTCAAGAAATTCTTTGAATATTTTTTTCGTTTTTCCTGCTAGAAAATTTTAATGTTTTGAATCAAATAAGTATAAGTAGATCTAGTAGTTATGGTGAACGTAACATTCTCATTTTAATATTATACGGAACTATAGGAAGAAAGGTAGAATTATATTTTCCTTGAAAAAGCTTGGAACAGATTACCAGGCGAAACGTTGAATTTACTTCAAATTCTTCTTCTGAGATTTTACAAATACATTCTTTCTCTTTAATGACTCAAGGAATAATTTTGTTGTGATAACTTCTTATCAGTTATTTATAATTATGAGTTCAGGATCTGTGGTAAACTGATAAGGTTTACTAGTATTTCTATCGTGAAGTTACTTACATTTATCGTATGTTTCGATGATATATGCCTTGACTACTGATTGAGATTTTGCGTCTATTTGGGTTGTCTAATCGCGACATTATTTGACCTAGTCTTTGTGCCACAAACCTCTGTATCCATATACCATGCTTCATAGACCTGTTCTTGTGAATTATGATATGGTAGTAATGGTGTAGTTCAGTTGAAAAATAAGTTATCCAATATGTCAGTGGGTGTTACTCTCTACTTTGATTTTAACAACGTTCTTTTGAAGGTGTCCATAGACTAATTTACTTATTTATTTGATTGAGCATTGTGTGGGATGAGTAGATGCGTGTGATGGATTGTGATCCATTATCTAGCACTGCAATGTCTGGTACTCAGTTTCAGGAGAAACCTCCGTCAGTATTTGGAGGGTCTTCGTTGTTGTCAGTGTTACTACAAGGATTTTTGTCTATTTAAGTAATGTATAGTTCATATATATATAAACAGTAAATGAAATGTTATATATACAACTGAAAAGTTTAGTTTGTGGGATAAAATGGGGATTTACAAAAGAAGCTGAGTAGAAGGTGTAACAAACAAAACCAAAGGACGATTTATGCTGTGGTGCCGACTGTGATGGATTAAACTGCAAAATCGTGCATGGAGGAGAGTTGACAAAGTCGTTGGAGTAAAGACCGGTGTCAGGCAAGGTTGCTTACTCTCACCCTTTCTCTTTCTCGTGGTGATCGACTGGATCATGAAGACGTCAACATCTGAAGGGCAACTCGGTATACAGTGGACATCTAGGATGCAGTTAGACGATCTCGACTTCGCAGATGATCTGGCCCTTCTATCCCAAACGCAACCACAAATGCAGGTGAAGACGACCAGTGTAGCAGTAGCAGTAGGTCTCAACATACACAAAGGGAAAAGCGAAATTCTCCGATACAACACAACATACAACAACCGAGTCACACTTGAGGGAGAATATTTGGAAGATGTAAAAACCTTTACATATTTGGGCAGCATCATAGATGAACAGGGTGGATCTAATGCAGATGTGAAGGCGCGGATCGGCAAAGCAAGAGCAGCATATTTACAACTTAGAAACATCTGCGGTTCAAAGCAACTGTCAACCAACACCAAGGTCAGGATTTTCAATACAAATGTCAAGACAGTTCTACTGTATGGGGCAGAAACCTGGAGAAATACGAAAGTCATCATCCAGAAGATACAGGTGTTTATTAACAGTTGTCTACGCAAAATACTTCAGATCCGTTGGCCGGACACTATTAGCAACGACGTACTGTGGGAGAGAACAAGCCAGATCCCAGTGGAGGAACGAATCAGGAAGAAGCGCTGGAAGTGGATAGGACACATATTGAGGAAAGCACCCAACTGCATCACAAGACAAGCCCTCACATGGAATCCTGAAGGTCAAAGGAAAAGAGGAAGACCAAAGAACACATTACACCGAGGAATGGAAATAGACATGAGAAAAATGAACAAGAATTGGATGGAACTAGAAAAGAAGGCCCAGGACAGAGTGGGTTGGAGAATGCTGGTCGGCGGCCTATGCTCCATTAGGAGTAACAGGCGTAAGTAAGTAAGCCTACAATGTATTATAAACTTATACGTAAATGACAGTATGAGTATGTTGAGGCAGTCCTCACACGGTGCAAATATATCAACTAAGACTGATCAAAATTTAGTCACTAATATCGACCACGGGATAATTCATATCTTTACAAATTAAATTAAATTCATATCTGTTACACAAGCTAGTGGCTACCTTTATATGGTAGCTCAATGGTTAGCGCGTTCAGCATTTGAAGCGAAATGCTATTGGGTTCAAATCTTGATGTGAACATGGACATTGGGGTACAAGTATATCCATTTGACATGCTGTTAATAGGATTGAATAACCGTCCTAGATACCACTGTTAACCACAAATATCTATTCTATAAAGGAATGGAATAGTTTAATTTGACTAATATTTCAACCTTAAAATAAACATCATACTTTATTGTCGTTCTATATTCTGCGTCAAGATGCACATTTTTTAAATTGTTTTGTTTGTTGCCTATAGATTTTGACAAAATAACATTGTTTTTTTCTATAGAAGTTTTTATTAATTTTGTAATACAACTCGATAATCAAGTGTATGTCTTCCTAATCCACTTCAATCTACTTTTTTAGTATCTTGGCTAAAGTTAATACCTGGTGGTCCAAATCAAAGTTCATTGAATAGTTTTCAAAATTATGACAACATGATTGAAAGGCGAATCATTTAGATATTAGCTCTCTGATTTATTAACTTAGTTTTTTTTCTTCATATCTTACTTTATACTGAATAAGATTAATGTATCTTATATTCCGTTTTAATAGATTGCCTCCTAAAGTAGACTTTCTTGAAATATCCGAAAACAAATGAGCGTTTTTCTTTTTGTTTATTCTATTTGTGTTATATGCTTTTTCGATACAAAAAGAAGCCGCCATTTTTATTCTTTCATATTTAACTATTTATTCGGTACAGATGTTTATATCTCACAATAAAAAAGAACAAAAACTCTCACTTTATGTTTGTATCATACATGTAATTCAACTTACTGTGAAGTTCAGTAGTGTGTATAAAAACTTGATGCCAAAACTCTATACTTGTCTATTTAGTTAGTTAGTGTTTTATTAATAGTAACTTTCTTGATTACGAATTGAATAGTATATTAATTATTTTCAGTAAATCTTACATCATTTTCCACTACTGTCATGTTTTTAATTCCCTTAATATATTAACATGTACCGGTTTATAAGTCATTGGTTTGGCACAATGCCAAAGTCATTTAAGTCGGTGTTTCGAACTGGCGATTTAGTCACGTGATATACTAGTAGGACATAAGAACATTACAGTCTTCATCTTTTTTTTTTACAATTAACTTATTATTTGAAACCATAGTATATTTGAATTCCTTAAAGGAAAATCACTTTGTTTTTTAATTTATTCTTTATATAGTTGACCGATAATAATACTGGATACAATCCATTATCTTCCAAAATTTATGTGAATAATAAGTTCAACAATGATAATAATAGTAATAGTGATATTGATAACATTGAACATGTTAATGATGATGATTACGACGATGAGGTGGATCATAATCTCGATGCAAAATCAAGTAAAATTAATCGTAATACTGTTGTTGCCGTCAGTGCTAAACATAATCCTCAACACTTGCAACTATGTGAATCACAACGAAAATTTCAAGATAATTCTAACAAGACTATTCATAACTCTGTAAGTCTTAATAATATCAAATCAGAATACATTAATCTATCATCTACGAAACGTTTCAATGCTAAATCACAATTATCAGAACTATGTTCACAAAGTTTACCAGCTTCTGGTCGTATATCACCCACATCAAAAATTGTGAGTAGTACTGGTCTTCTTGTTTTGTTTTTTTCGCGTAGCTATTGAATACTTTTCTTAAAAAAAGAGAAAACATTCAATTATCGATTCGTCGGACTTCAGTTAGCTTGAAGAAATTCGTGTTTAATATTTTTGTAAAGTGTTTACAATTGTTTCCTTCTTGAGATTATACTTAACTGTGGCATACCTCACCACTTACACATTACGGTTAAATAATTATTTTCGTACACAGTGATTGACATTTTCTAATTCAAGTTAATTCGTAATATTTATTAACTATTCTTTAATACTACCTGATGCTTAGTACTGATTTCATTATCGTCAGTAAAACGTATTACTAAGTGTAATGATGTAAAACTAATTGAAAACAAATATTTCTTCGCTTACTTCGTTTTTTTCCTACGGTTATCAAGTGCCAATTAATTTCTCAACTGAAGTGAGATTCCACTGAAATAGTCATGATTGTAAAATACTCGATACAGTTTGTAATGTGTACACTTTTGGTGATGGATAGTATATTCTTGTACAATTGCAAGGAGACTATCCATTTGTTGTTCATCTTTTACACATCTTTAATCACCGTTATAAGAAGTTAATTAACTATGTAACTATTTAATTTCTCATGTGTTTTCTACGCTTCATTAATGGCTTCTCAAAATAACATTGACTTATCTGTTTTCATTTTGTATAATTTATTTTTCTACTCAACAACAGTTGATAGCGCATTTACATACTTTACGAAGTGTATCACATTGTTGATTCATCATACTAATCATTTATTAGTTTCTCGTTCATATTTAGATAGTTCTGAATACGATGAAAGTACCATTTCATTGAAATAATGAACCGATCAATTTTATACCACCACCATTTTGTCCCAGTATACGAATTCTTAGCAGTGAGCGTTCACGATCTCGGACATGGGACTCAAACCCTTGATGTTCGGTCTCGCATGAACGCTTCACCTCCAAACCGAACTTTGATAGTCTCTTCTGTTTTGTTTTAATTACCTGATTCTTTGTATTGTATGTTTCATATAATTTTATGTCTACACTGTGTTCAATCAATTTTATCAAAATAGCTATCATACTATCTAATCTTTTTTTACAGTTATCTTCAGATCTATCCTCTATAGAAATAACCAAGGTCTATCCTCTGCGTTCTTCCCTATGTATGGCTAAGTCTGGATCAAACAATGAAGAACTAAGCTCTTTCAACACACCTCGTCGTAAACCACGTTTAGCACCAATTCGTCAGTCAGATCATTCCATACTTTGGGCATCACAAAATCAAAACTCCCATCTAAGTAATTACATGCCTTTTAAAAGATCGAATTGAACTTATCTGAGTTCACTTTTATAATTTATGTTAAACACATGGTTTAATGTGAACCCCATAACTAAATGGTCATAATCTGCTGATTCAGAAATATAATTTGATCCTCAAACTTAGTCTGTTTTACACCTACCGAATGATGTGAACGTTTATTTGTTTGTATTTATCCACGAGATATGTATCTGAAACCTCCATAAATTCTATTTAATTTAAAAATAATAAGTCCAGAAAAGAAAACTATTCAAATCGTACATGTGTTTTTATACCATTTCAATTCATAATATTTATTGCAAGTTTAGATAATAATCTTTCTTTTCACAGTTGAAATCATAAGTTAATCTAAGCTACAACGCCATTGAAAACCTGAAAGCATTTGACGGCCGTTTTATTCTATTATGGGACTCCTCATCACTGTGCATATTACCCTATTAATTCTAACAGAGTTAACGGTTTCATTTTGTTTATGTTCTTATCAGTTGCTTATAATATTTTAAAATCGAAATTATCACAGAAATTAACAGTGGAAATGAAGATGTATATCGTGACATAGTGAAGATCCTAGCAAAGTTACTAAGGTCTTAAAAAGTTTTTCTCTAGACAAATAAAGTGTTGGCTAAATAGTTCCAGAACATCGGTACACTGATTATAAATCATGGAGTTAACGAGCTTTAGATAATTGAGTGATGAATTAACTAAAAACTGATTTATAGTAATCAAGAATGATATGAGTTGAAATCAGTCTGTTAGAACTTTGAATTCAAGTGAAAAGAAAATGATGTAATGAATACCTGTGAATGAGTTGAAATAAAGAATGATGCAATAAAATGAATGAAGTATTACTAGGATAAAGAAAGGTTTATTACTGCTTCTTTTTGAATATATAACTCTGCCTTCAGGTGTTTGATCACCGTAGGTCCAGCGAATTTCAGATTGGGATTAGATTGTATATTAGGCAACTTGAGAGATTTCAGTGTGTCAACTTGATGTTCTGTATCAAAGAGATATCTCGAAATAGTACTGCTGAGTTTCTTTACTTCTCTTGATCTCAGACCATTTTGAATATTTTTTTCTGGGTCGGACGTAAGCTCTTCTTTTTGTTCTATTAATGTAACTTCTTTGGCAGACAAATATCTATTCTTGATAAATTTATATCTAATCATTCAGTAATATGTATCATCAATATACTTTGCAGTAATTTGATCATTACATATCCAACAACTGTAATCCCACCTGGAAGACATTTTATTATGCTTCCTTTTAATGACTAGTCGGTTGGGGTCCGCATGACTATCGTAACCAATGGTTGGACACTGAGCGACGTGGCTCAGAATCGATCACAATGGTGTAAGAGTATACGCTATCTTCCCTTATACTATAAGATTAAAATCACTTCATATCTTTCTTTCTACGAACTAATTCTTTCTTTCTATACTATATCCTTATATGCAATCCTTCGTTTATGTATTCCACCATTGAGTTAACTGCTTCTATGAATCCATTGTTCGTCTCGCTGTGCTAATGAGGTATGGCAACTTGCCTGGTCCTACGTTGTAACTGACTGAGTGACGTAATTAGTCTATGGTTGATAATCACCCTAATAAACGGTGTATTTGGCATAAAATACACAATTATTTCCTTGATATTTATTTTGTAAAGCTTGTGCTTTGTTGAATAATGTATCACTTAAAATGTGAAGTTTGTTGTAATCTTCACAATATGCATAACTAATATATACAAGTTTTCTTTATCTAAACTGATGATTCTTTCCATACATATTGGTGGGTCATTTAATTGTGACATCGAATCGCTTCGGGTTAATTAATTTAGATAAACTTAATCAAAACTACATCCCTTTAGTTCTAACTTATGTCATGTCATTTCTGTTTTTGGTCTTTAGTTTTAATGTTCAAATATATAGAACGGTAGATTTATGGTTAAGGCGCTTGACGTTCAGACACTTAGTTCTAGGTTTAAACCACGCTTCATCTATTACAGTTTAAGCTAGTGAACAGTATCATTACCCCTTAAACTTAATGTTCCTCATATCTGAGTACGTTTTGAATGATTTAAGCTTAATTGAAATTAAAATTATTTATGATTTCGAATAACAGCTATAAACGGAGTAAACACAATGAAATAATTATGTTTCAGAATTATAGATAAAAAGTAATGATGATCACTGTTGTTTTCCTATGACTTTTCTTACATAAACTCGGTGTACTCACTGGACAGTTTCCATTATAAGCCGATTTCTCATCCCATATATGTGCTTACCGACGATTATCTTGTATATTATGTTGGATTTCTTATTTCATAAATAATCCACCGTATCTAATCCATCTCGTTTAATATTGTTTAACTATTAAAGTATTATAATTGAAACTGTTATTATCTATGTAAAAGATATTCATAATTTCGTTTGTTTCAACGTATTACAAAATATGCAGGTTGTTTACTTTTGTGCTATAGGGAACACTTTATTACTGATTGTTTAAATATGAAATTGTGCATTTTCTTTCCCATTCTTTTTCTTCATTCTATTATACTTGTCTATATTATCTCTTTTTTTTAAAACAGATTCCATGTATCATTCTTCGTTGTTACCAACTCGAGCTACTCTAGTTCGTCAAAGTAATAGGTCACGTCCAGCTCTTAATCAAGTTTATAATAATATTAATACAAATACAGAAAATTATCTAGAATGTAATCGTTTTGGATATAATATAATTACACCGAATAATTCTTTAAATGCTTATCATTCTACTTCATGTATAACACCTAGAGAAAGTGTGAATAAAAATAATCGGAATATCCAATCGGACAGAATAGTTACATCATCAGTTGATAACTTGTATTATAATAATGTGAATACAATTAGTACAACTAGTAGATCTAATCATACTGAGTATGATTCATTTTATTATAGTCACAATGATGATAATAAAACAGTTGAAGAAGAAATTTACGACGAGGATTATGAATCCGATGAAGAATTTACAGATGGTGATGATGTAGATGAACGAAGTAGTAGTACAATTAATAATGCAACATTTTGGCGTTCAAATCGATCAACAAAACCTAATTCATTACCTACCAGTGCATTACCATTAAATCTGCACAATAATGATTCAGCTTTACCAAATTCACCAAGTTCTGAAATTCCTGAAGTACGTTTTTACCACAGTGTTTATTACAATTATCATTATCATTGTCAAAAAAATATTATTTTATTAATTTGATGGTCAAAAACTTGAAATATTCTTTTCTTTGAGTTTTTTCTAAGTACCTCATTCTCATAGTACATTTGTTTTGACTCATGAGACTACGCGTTTTATTACAGCATTCTGATTTTTGTTGATTTGATGTATTATTTTTCTCTACTTACCCAATATGTCCTAAGACTGGCTTTAAATACATCTAGTACTCATCACTGTCAGCTAACTCAATTATGATGACGTTGTTATATCACACTACGTTATTCTGAAGTAAAAAGAATGTTTACTTCTCTTTTCTTAGTGGAGTTTCGTTCTCTGACCAGGATGGTCTACTTGTTAAGCTTCCATCGTCTTTCAGGACAAGATTGTCTGCACAAACTTTGGAAAGAAGTGAGCTATTCGAATTTTTCCTCTTGTGATTGACAGTTCATTCCATCAACCTCTATCTTGATTGACCTGCATATCTGTTTTGACCATCTTCGTTTGTGACCTGATTCTTCATCTTATATTTGTCCATCTTTCTCAGAAAATGAAACTCCTCCAAATCATCAACATGAGCTACAAATCGTCTCCATTTCAATGTTTTCAGTCAGTCACAATGTAGAATCCCGTACGTATGCATAGCGATAATTTTTCATGCCCCATTAGCACAGTGAGATAAGATTTTCCGTCTCGATCTCAGTGTAGCAGAGGTAGTAACAATATTGGTGGTAATATAAAAGATTAGGTTTCGAATATGCGATTCAAGAAAATATGAGCTAGTTAAGCAAAGAATATTTCTGAGAAATTTAGAACCTTTGATTTAAGATGAAATAAAAAGCCATATCATCTAAAGTCTACCCACTGGTTATGACGGTCACGCTGACCCCAACCAGGTAGCCTAGATTTGTTAGCAAGGCTCATTTCAATTTTCAGTAACTTCATTGACTGACGCTATGCTTTGATTTGGCCACCGCTAGCTCCAAACCTAATCCTACTTCAGACAACATCGACCGTCAAGGTAGGCGGTGGTTGTGCCTATGTAACACATTTTATTCCATGAACGTTGTGTAGTTAATTTTCAAGCTTCGGTTTAAATGGCTGTGTCATTCAATGTTTTTGAAATGTTTGCTTAGAGCCTAAAATCAATGTCATAGTTATCATAAATTATCGTTGTCCCATTTTGTTTCTGTATCTTAAAAACACCCCTACTTCTTTATTTTACTACTTCTATATTTTAAACCATAAAAACAATGTATAAACTATTACGTCTATAGCTTAAATTCTGTAATAAATTTATTAAACACGATCTCGAATATATTAAATGTCGGTATCGAGTACACTACTTGACTGCGTAATTGATTAAGACTTATGCGGCACTCTTAATTAAGCAAAATGATTTACATCATCATTATGGGTATTCTTCACCATTGAAATTTGATTATATTATTGTATTATCAGTCACAAAAGATTTTCAAACGATGTGATTAATTTGTCCTTAAAACATTCAACTTTCAATTACTAAACTTCGGGTTCAAACCTTGCTTAATTTATGTAGCCGATTATGAACTTAATCAATACAGCAAAGTTATCAAACACCATTTAATGCATGTAGAAAGAAAAGCTGCGAATGCGAATAACAAAACGATAATAAAATTATACGTAGATATACATATTCTCTACTGAGGAAATTTTAAGTGAAAATGTAGGCGTTTTACTATTTCATTCTTACCATTAATTTCATTGTACAATCTATAACTACCGTTTGATAAGTGCACGTATCTAAGTTTGTTGGTGTATGCCTGTGCATATGTCAAGGAAAGTATACGTTTTTCTTGTTACTAACTGTTCATTGTCTTCGGTGGGTGTGGTTGTTTATTATTTATTTATTATGTATAGTATGTGTGTGTATGGTTAATTATGTTTCGTTGAATTTAATTTATTAAATTATATATCTGATACTCTGTTCATGATGTAAATAGTTATTTATGTGTATTCCTGTATATGAATGTATATAAGAGCATTCGATGTCTCTACCCCCTTTTCCTCTTCATAATTTATCTTATTCTTAATTTCTTTTGTAATGAACTTTCTAATTATTGACAATTTTTATCATTTTTCTTGTTGCTTTTCGTTGGATATACTTTAGGATGTCTCACAACATAATGTATGCACTCTTTCTCTCCCTCCCTTCCCTCGCTCTCTCTCTCTGTTTGCGTATGTGTCTATGTTCTAATTGTAAGAATAATCATCATTCATAAGTTGTGTGTATTATAGAGAAAAATATCCGCTTCAGTAAATAAAATTTGTGCATTGAATACATTCATTATTGAATTATATAATAATAGTGTTGATAGAAATGTCATTGAAAGACTCATATTCCCTGATTATAAAAATGCCATTTGAAATCCTGATAAATGTTATGGGCACCCGGGCAGTATCCCAACTCTCACATAAATCGAATGATATATGTGGCGCATATGTATTTAATGCCTCCTTGTACCAATAAATAAATAACCTCTAGATCATAATGAAATCTATTGATATTTGAAATTTCAGATCATGAAATGATGTGATCCTATTTCTACTTTTTTTATTTATTCATCAATTGATATGAATATACAACCTAACATTAAACGGTTTTCTTGAAAAAAAATTTTGTTTTCTGAATTCACTATACCTTTTAATTTGTTCTATGATACAATTGACAAATAATTCCCATTTAGGCATTAAAAAATATAAAAAAACACAAAGTTTAGCGAAGGGTTCTCTTTTCAACCTTTAATTATCTTAACAACAACAACATTTTAATTGTGATCATGAACCGATTGATGTTAGACCACCATTGAAAACCTGGAAGCACTGGACGGCCGTTCCGTCCTATTGTGGAACTCCTCAACACTGCGCATCCACGATCCCGCTCCCCCCGCGAGATTCCAACCCAGAGCCTTCAGTCTTGCGCGCGAACGCTTAACCCACAATAGAACGAACCGGCTGTCCAGTGCTTCCAGGTTTTTAATGGTGGTCTAACATCAATCGGTTCATGATCTCAATCAAAAACTTGATAATCTTCACAACCCCTATACTAATAAAAATATTTTGGTCATCTTATTATATTCACTAAATCTAATGTTATTATTCGTATTACGTAACTTAGTATTACAATCTTTCTATTACGTCATCTTGTTTATTCGTGTTCACATTTCTTCACTGAATTAGTACTTGAACAAAAAAATTATTTTTTCATATATATACGATTGTACAGCTTGATAGTAAATTCATTGAAAAGAGATCCCTTCGCTGAACTTCGTATTTTAAAATTAACTTTTATCATGAACTCATACCATTTAGAAAATAGATAAATGAAATATTGTACTCATTGTAAGATTTAAAGATTTTCATTTCCTTGATCTTATGAATGAACGAACACTTTTGAAAAAGTCAAAAACCAAAAAAAGAGATCCAATGAAAATATCTATCAAGTGTTCCATGATTTTTATTGAAACTGTTCTAGCTAATAACATTACATACTGAAAATTAATTCCTACATAAATTCATAGAACAAGGTTTTGTTAGAAATAAAGTCTTTTCTTAATACAAAATATAATCTAGAATTTGTTAGTCAAAAGGCAGTAGATCAAACGTTAAGAGATGTAGTCCGAAGGGGATGAAGAAAAATAAACGAACAAAGAGTATGAAAAATAATAATAAGAAATAAAATCATTTATTAAAGCTAGTTTGACCAAGGAAGAGATAAAGGTGTTAAAAATCTCTTATGAATACAACACTTGGATTGTTAGCTTGAGTCCCTATAGCCTCGGTCACTTATAAGAGACGAAGTCGAACTGCATAAGGAAGATTAGTAATGTTGGAGATGCTAGATCCTCAGAGCTCACTTGGTAAACGTCTTGTTTTTGTAATATTATTTTGAAAATTGGGATTTATCATTTTCTCTCGAAAAGCTCATATTTTGCCTTCGGATTGTATATCATTTTTTGAAAGGCCTTTAATGTGATTGTTTCATTTCCTCTATTAGTACACTATTTTGTGACATTTCCCAAGGACATTCTTGTGCCGTATATATACGCTTGAGTTGTGTGTTTGTTCGCTCGTGCTTGTGGAATATACTTTTTCTTCGGCTACATCTGGTCTTTCTCCTGTAGTAAACATTGCTTTAGCTCTGTGCATTAGTTTAATTTGTCCTGTTATTATGTTGCTGACTTTCGTTCCGTTCGTGATTTCTTTAAACGTAGCAAGTAGGAATACAATAAATCACTTTAAATGCCCTATTTCTATCTACTACATGACCGCTACCGATCAAGGGTGATAGAACAGAGCTGCGTATTGTCTCACCGATACCTTTTCCTAATCACGAAATGTGTGTACTCAATATAGAATTCTCCATAGAAGCAGCTGAATTTCGTGCAATAAAATTAGAAGCGAATACAGGAATAAGATGAAATGTAGGCAAAACTTAATATTCAAGCAAAATAACTTGTATGGTTACAACTCCTCATATATAGAAGTAAAAACATGAAATTTTTGGATACACTGAAAATTATTTTATTATTATTATTATTAGAAGCTTTATTCAATATTATATTTTTGGTACAACATAGAATTCTCAGCATAAAGTATTTCAACAAGTTTCCTTTTCTTATACCTTGATCTATTGTGACGATAAATTCTGAATGATGACCGGTTAGATGTTAGGAGTCCGGTAATCCACATTTGATTAATGTTCATTCGTTTCAATGCATATTGCCAACCACCATGATGTCGCTGATTGTACCTTTTTGTATCACGTATAGCGAAAGGTTGTAAACTTTTCATAAACGCGCCTGAATAAATTGTGCGCATAATAGACATAATGATGTGCTAAAACAAACAACAAAACAGATAACTTAATGAAATATCTAGATCGAAGGAACAGGTAGCCCAGATATTCAAGCAGGCCGCCAAGTTGAAGACATTTAGATGAGAGCTAACGCCATGCCTAAGAATTCAAAAAAAAAGCACTAACTGTCATTGTGTCTCGTAAGACATTAGGATTAATAATAAAACTTAGTAACCTCGTGATCGCCTTAGCGGTAATTTATTTGAGAATCTTTTCAACATTTAATTATTAATTAATCTCAGTTTATTTAGTAAAGATTCCTAATAAGACGGAAAGTTGTTCTCATCATATGAACTAATGTTTATCGTTGAAAGTTAATGCATCAATCTGTTTTATTTCATCTATTGTCGTATGATACAAAAAATTATTTTCATATCTCTTAACTAGTTGATCAATCTTGATATCTTTCGAAGTTTATTTATTAATTATTCGAAATTCTTTGGATTTTCATTGGAAAATCTGTTTTCTATTTTCCTTTCGTATACATTGAACATTCTCATAATTTTTCATCACGTAAGGATTTCTTTTCTTTTTAGGTATCAAGTATACGCAGTGCTGCATCTCATAGACGTGCAATGCGATTATTTGAAGAAGCTGAAAAACGTAGACAAAGTGAAAGTTACAATAATCTACAAATATTGTCCACTTCATCAACACCTCTATCATCGATAAGAATTACAAAAATGCACAATACTGAACTATCAAGTAACATAAATAGATTGAATCCTGATATTCATCTTGTAAATTCAACTTTATCCGGTCCCGTGTTAACACCAGCTGTTGTTCCCGCAACGTCATCACAACGTTTCATTCCTGGAAAAAGTTCAGCTAAAAAGTACGTCTTGTAGTTTATATTGTAAAACTTTATGACGAATATGTCGCTTCAATCTTAATATATATATATATATATATATATATATATATATTAGCTACTGCTATGCGACTCATCATTCTTAATTTATTCCCAACCCATTAGTTACAGTCTCCTATATTCACAGCCACTTTTGGCTTCATCTTGTTTAATTATTATTTTTCATTTTATGATGTGATGGGGTCTGGTCTGCTTGTAAATAAACTACATATGTCTGAAATTTAATATTATTGTCGTTATTATTAGTGGTTTTATTCATTATTATATTTTTGGTACAATATAGAATTCTCAGCACCAAGTATTTCAGCAAGTTTCTTTTTCTTATTTCTTGAATGATTCTTACGCTAAATATTGAGTTAGATGTTAGCAGTTCACGAATGGACATCTGATTGATGTTCATTCTTTTCAATACATATTTCCAGCTACCACGATGTCTCGGATTGTACTTTTTTGCAACTTGTACAGCGAAAGATCGTAAACATTTCATAAACGCAACGTGATAGGTTATGCGTTGAATAGACATAATGATGTTTTTGAAAAAACAAAAACAGATAACTTGTTGAAATATTTATATGACAGGAACAGGTAGCCCAGATATTCAAACAGGCCGCCAATAATACTAAAAATTCATACAGTGGAGATACGTGTTGTATTATGAACTGAGCAGCTAGGGCTTGGCGAGAAGATGCTATATTGAGGACCTATAAAGACTCAGAGTTGACTCAAATCTGCTACTGCTGGTTGACGTGTCGTGCGTTTAGAGAAGGACCATCGTTATAGAAGTGGGTATTCTGATTGACGATTTTGTCACGTGATATGTGACGACCCAGAGATCATAGCAACTAGTCTAATCAGCTGTAGTTAGAATCATGCACTTTTAAGGTTAAAACGATCTTTTTGTAGTTAGAAGCTACTTGTTTTAATAAAATTTCTCTGTTCACATCGTTATAGGTGACTAAGTGAGGCTGTGCTAACTTTCAATCCTTCATAGATAAATAAATAAATAAACAAATCGGAATGAGGGTTTGTAGAGTTTCTAGTATTGTAACAGTTGAATTAATGAGTCGATCAATGCTAGATATTAACATCTCTGGGTGCCGGCTCAGTGGTTTATATGTTAAGCGTTTGCGCGCGAGACCGGGGGTCCTGGGTTTGAGTCCCACGTGCGGGATCGTGGGTGCGTACTACTGAGTCCCATATTAAGACGAAACGACCGTACAGGGCTTCTGGGTTTTCAACGGTGATCTAGCTTAAATCGACTCATGAATTCAGCTGTTAAAATACATAAATATCTGTGCATTTATCAATTGCTACTCGTCTGTTACGGAAATCACAAGTAAAATTATCGACCGTTGTTGCCTACCTTGACGTGGTGGTTGGGCTTGCCTATCGTGATGAAACATACGAGCTATACTGGTTAGAACAATCGTTCTTCAGGGTCCTACCATACCAGACAGTTCGGTTGAAGAACGGTCAGACTGAAAACAACACACCCAAGGTCCGAAGGCGAAGTCGTACTGCTGACTGTACGGAGTTGTGACAGCAGTTAGGCGTTTCCTTCAGACAACTGGCATGACGGCAATGCTGCCTTCTCACAAGGAGGGGTAGGGTTAGAAATGGCCGACCCAAAAAATGCACACTTCGCCTTATCCCATGGATATTCGTCTCCGTCGGTAAGGTCTCAACAAGTGTGGAGCTAACACTAAAATTACTCACAAAAGGTCGTGTGTGACGGACCTCAAGCAGTTGTCCCTTGGGCATTGGGGTCACTCTCTCGAGTCACCTCTAATCCAGTTCACGTTTCAGGTACCTCCAGAAGAACTCTTCCATGATGTGGGCAACCCGGAAGTGATAACCGATCTCATACCTCTAACAGCACTCAAGACCACTGTATTCATAATCAACCCCTTTCTTCAGTTCCTAACAGCAGTCTAGTTTGATTCGTGCATGTTTCAACATTCATTTCTAAGTATTAAGGTGTTTTTTTCATTGAACATCAAACGAAATACAATGATGATAAAAATTATTTTCAAAAATGAAACATTTAAAGTCTTATCCATATTTATTTGTACCGGTTTGATTAAAATTTTCATCTTTATGTTGAAATGATTTATACACTTTTTATTTCTATGGACAAAAATGGGTTAACAATATGCGAATAAAGTTTGGTTAAGAAATATCTATTATAAATGGAAGTTAATCCACTTTCGAAAAAAAACGAATATTTATTGTATAATGTCGAAATAATGTCTCTACAATTTATGCTAATAAGGAATAGATTATATTTTCAATTGTATGACATCAATATTTCATGAAGTTCATTCTTTTTGTCTAAACGTTTTTTCACTGGTTGAAATCATGAGTCAATTGAAGCTGGACCATCATGAAAAACCTGGAAGTACTGGACGGCCGTTTCGTCCTAGTATGGGACTCCTCAGCAGTGCGCATCAATTGATTCATGATTTCAACCAGTGAAATTTCTAAAAATCTCCAGAAAACCCATTCTGATAAAAAGCTTTTGTTTTTGAATATCATAGGTTAATATGATAAAGTCGATAATGTTTTTTTAGTTGTATGAAACTTTTTCAGCGATGAGCATCTACAATCTTACATGCGGGAATAAGACGGAGGATCTTTAATCTTGCGTTTGAACACTTAACTTCAAAACCACTGAATCGGCATCTAAAGATGTTAATGTTTAACTTTAATTAATTCACGATATTCCACATTTGATTATACTTCTTTGTAATTGCTTGAATCTTCACATTGATATTAAGAACTGCGATTGATCAGTTTCTTTCTGGCATATTTTTATACTGAACGAATTGCTTTGATATTGCCGTTAGGTCGTAAGTTGTTTTTTATCATGAAAAAAGACTGATCAATTAGTAACTGTTTTTTGATTCAATAGCGTCTATATTGATCAATAATCTTTTAAAGTACAACGAGTTACTCCGTTTATTTAACATGAAGTAATATATATGACATTATCAAAATTATATCTCAGATATTCTCCCGTCAAAAAAACCCACATACAAACAAACAATGTTTTATCTATTCACTTTTCAAATAAAGAATTTATAATTAAAAGTTTCGGTTTAATATAAATTTTCTTAGGATTCATTAACTTTTCATGTGCTTATATTGTTGTTGTTGGTAATCTATGATTATTTATTGTACGCTTGCGTTGTTGTTTGGCTTTCTTTAATTTTCAAATAAGTCTCAAGTTAAATTTTTTCATCATCTTGATGTAATTTGAGCTGTTGTTATCGTCGTCGGTGTCGTTTAGTTATTGTTTGATATGCATTTATTTGTTTTGTATATATATCTAATTGATTTTATATCGTTGCTATGACGCCAAACGGATATATATATACATTTATTTTTTCGGTTATCGAAATAAACACGGATCTATTATTATCATCCTTTGTAATATTTATCCACTAAAATTAATTAAAAAAGATACTCAAGTGTATGACATTTTGAAATTGAAATTTCTACGACGATTAAGTAAACTCTTCAAATATATATCTAATTTATCAAGTAGTCATATCATCAAATATTTTGATGTTAAACAGTAGCATGTAGTCGTCAATCACACAGTGAATCTTGATCAACGTATAACCTAGCTCAATGTCCATTGTCCCAAATTAACATACTATATCAGCACACACGACCAGATGAATTTGAAATATGAATAAATAACGAATCATAGTGATGTAGTAACAATGACTACAAGAATGACCAATTTTTGAGAACATAACTCAGTCAAAGAGACTGATTGGAAAGGTATATATATATATCTGTAAAGCAAAGCTGCGAGTGAAGATCTGTAGGAAGATAGAGCGTGAAGGAACTTCAATTATGGTTGGTTGCTGAATTCGAGACATGTCAACCAATGTCTCCGTCCACTGTTCGTCATCATTGTGATATCGATTCCAACCAGATAGTCTGTACATGTCTACACAGCTCAGACAAATAGTCAGTGACTTCATGAATAGGTTGACATGTCTCTATTTGATCATTCTTAACTTTATTCTCACCTACTTCTACAACACCGAACATTCACCGTCAAAGTAAACAGTGATTAGGCACACACACACACACAAAACATGTCTTGAACACCTCAATCAATCTATGTTCATAGTTATTGCATCAACTGATTTACCGCGTTTACCTTATAATTTATTCCCAACATCAACAATGCTCACTGTCTCTCTCTACGTGACACGAACAATGCTTCGAATACCTCTATGATCAGAAGCTGTTGTCTATATGTGTTTTTGATGGGGTTTTGTTTTCTGAGCTGGATAATTTGGTCATGGAGCTTTCATTATTTTTCTGAATATTATTCTCAGCTTATGCTGTCGACTTCGATTCTGTTTGCTTATTGTTGACCTTTAACTTAGCGTTGTGTACCCCTTAATCCTGTCTCCCTTTTGATCTAATTCTGGTTCCTGTATTTGTCCATGATTTTTCTGATTAGCTGACAGGTTTGAATGATATTGGTGTGTTTATTGATTGCTGATTGATCTGAGTAAAATCATTCAACCTAGCTACAAATAGTCACCAGTTAAAAATTTCATGATTGAGACATTTGAATGGTGATTTATCAATGAGAATAAAATAGTTTTGGTAGTTCCCATTTGAACAATAGAATTCGATTTCATGCAATTCGATTTGCCTTAAAGAAACTTGATATAATTACTGTTGGTTACTGTTTAGCAATTAATGAGTATACTTTATGTACTATCTTTTACATTTTCCTCTTAATGTTTTGTTGTATGTGTAAGTAATGTAAAACAAATCCTATTAGCCATCTCACAATCAGTAGTGTTGTACCGCTAATTTGCTTATTACTGAACATTCATGAATTACGTTGTATAATGATTTTAGAAAACTACTGAAAATCAGAGGGCGTTAGATAATTGTTTTGTCTCAGTATGGAACTCCTTATCATAGATATCTACAACCCCTGACAATGATCATAGCTACCATACAAGGTTTTATAAGAAGCTCTTAATCTTTAAACCAATAAGACTCTATTTAAAGATCTATATATCTAACTTTAATAAATTCAAAATATTGTATAACCATCTTCTTCGCTCTTTTACACTATCATATCGGATATGGTTGAGCTTTACTAGTTATAACTTTTCACTAACACTTCTAATATTACATCTCGAAATTGATCATTAATAATATGAGTAGTAAAGATCTTCCACACTGATTTTTTAATTTCTATTATCAATCATTCTTATTGTTTATAATATCATTGGATAGTTTATTTTTTCTTCTTCTTTGTTTTCAAAGTGGTATACAAAAGGCGCATACATTTATTACCTTACTACTACTACTACACTGCAACTAATCAATTTTTTCCATTGTTCTGTTTCTATATAAATGAAAATATTGTTTTATTTGAATTATCATTAATAATTTAATAATTTCTTTTTTAAAGAAAATTTAATTTATTTTTCTAAGTATACTTTATATTGTATTTCTCCAATTTCTGTGTTTTTATAATATGGGGTGTCTATCTTATATGTAATTACACTATGACTCCTTTATTCAACAATGAAATTCTATTGTATATTCTCTTAATAAATATGAAAGGACTGGTTAAAGTAGAGGTTGTGATGACCTTGAAATTCGTTGTTTTTCCTTAGATCCACCTCAATACAAAAGTTTTAGTTTATCAACAAAAATACTTTTATATAAAGAATGATTGCCTTTATCTATTTTTTGTTGTTGTTGCTCAAATCCGTTCATTATTACATTTCAATACAATATTAAGCATAACCTTGATCCGAAGGTCATCGCTATAATTTCTTATTGCGACAGAATTTTCTTTATTCATTTCACTGGTTGGTTATATCTATTGTTCTAATATAGTTTCATGTTGATTGGTAGTTAATTTTTCTATTATTTAATATGATTTTAAAAAAAAATTTCCCTACTCTTGTCGATCATAAATTTTGAGTAATGGATCAGTTTTCTATCACATTTATTTTATTTTAATTCAGAAGTCCGAATAGATTTTCTGACGTAGTAAACGATGCTGATCGATTACTTAATAACAGTGGTACTGATGATAATAGTTCACCTAAAACTCCTAGAAACTTTGGATCTGATAAGAAGCAAACACAATCACAACAACAATTCACAAAACATTCACAAGTTGTAACAACTGTTTCGTCTAAATATAATCCTTATGTCGGTGCATCATTTCGTGAGAATCGGGATTATATTGGTGTAGTTATTGGACGAGCTGCTGTTACTCCTTCACCTATTACAACGATTGATATGCATCAACATTATCAAAGTATTGAACGAAGACCGTTGAAAGGTAATTTTGTTATATGTAAAGTTTTGTTTTGTTCTTGATGTTTACAGTTTTCTGTTGTATGTTTCACTAATTAGCTGAATCAGCCTGGATTATTTCAGCCAAAAAATACTTCGACGAAATAGATGTTTTGCATGAATGAATACTAATTATGGTTTTGATAAAAGGTTTGAATAATTTTTTCTGGTTAGCGTTTTTCTACGGGATGGGGACGCTAACTCCATGCCCAACCCTCCTCCTTTATCCGGGCTTGGGACCGGCAGTAGCCCCCGGAGGGACTCCAGGCGGAGTTATGGTTTTGATAAGGAAATGTAATTTACATTCATTTACTGAGTGATTAACCAACTACTTTTTTTGGTGAAAATCTGATATCATTTCACTTGAAGCAATGAATGCTCATCTGTTAAGTCGTACAACTAATGTTAATCATCGTTGTTACTTCAGCCATAATAATAATAAATGCTTTAATCGAATTTTGATTCACAAAATATGATTGTTTTGTAAGAACAAATAAAACTACCTTCAGCGATTGTTCACATTCATTTCTGATAGATTGTAACTGATAAAATTATTACCGTAATGTTTATTAGGAATATGAAGTTAGGATTATTCACTTGATTTACTTTCTGTTTCAAGATGACAGAGAAGATTCGTGGTTCAGGTGAATGATTTCGGTAGAACTCCGTTCTCGACTATGATCAAGTCATCTAGTTTAGAAAATGGGATTCCATCAAAAACGTTCCATTTTTGTTGTAATCACAGTTGTTTAGACGACGGTCACAAACCTTAATTTATCCATTTTCATTTTCTCAGGGATTTGGACACGTTGACTGTGTGTCAGATGTTCAGTAAAGAAATCTTTGTCTTTATTAATTTAAAAAACTTAAAAGTTTTAGAACATCATCTTATAAATTAATAATAATCATAATAGTGAGAACTAAAATAATTGCATATTTATCTTATCTTAGAGTATAAATGCTATCATGAACCAAACAGATAATATGTTATTCATGAAAGAACAGATTTCTTTATTGTCTTTGCATAGTCAGTATTGTCCAACCATAATCTTTATCAGGACAACATGTTGCCAATTGTGAAATGTCAACAAGGTATCTAAAATTCTCCATCTCTAATACAACAAGGGTGTCTTAGTGTCCACTATTCAACTTAATAGTCTTCTAAACTAAACTTGTTTTGAATAATAGTCACAGTAACAGAATAATGAGTATTTGAGCAATGATTTTTCTGCCTGTCTTTATGATTCATTGGTTCTTCAATTGGTACCAATTCATATTGAAATAATGTTTTTTTTATTAAAATGTTTGTTCATCTGTACACATGTTCAGTTTACTACATGATTCAGAGGTCTGGATGTACAGCTATTAAACAACATTCATATATATTGATTCTTTGGATTTTCTCATTGGTGTTTAGAACTGCAATTTATCAGTCTGTTTTGACATATATGCATCCTGTACAAATTAACTCTATATTCCTATTAAGTGACATAATCCATTTCTGCTTTAAAAGATGCTTGTGACTTGACGGTAATATCAAGGCATTCTGCCCAGGATGCCCGTGTACTAAAATAGACTGATCAATTACAGTCCTAAAAACCAATGAGTAGATTTGAACAACCATTGTATATGATTTAAAATCCACGCCATTGTAAAATGCAATGGATATCTGAACTTATTAAATAAGTGGATAACGTGATAGCATTTTTAGCGGACGCTACTCGGTTCGAGTCTGGGAGTAAACATCAATGCTGGGATGAAAGTACATTCAGCTGACGAGTGCTAAATAAGGAGGAACCTACATTCTATATTCCACTGCTACCTGCCATCCATACCTACTTAAAGAACACTAATTAACATGTTTCTGACTTACAGTCGCCTTGAATTTTCCATCCCAGCAATTGTAGCCATTATCAATTTATCTCCAAATGGTAGACAAAAATTTTGATCCTAATATGTATTATCTATAATTCTGTAAATAGAATGAATTGATTTTAAAATATATAGTCTATTCGTGATTAATATAAAAAGTGAAGTTGTTAAAGAACACTTTAACGTTGTTTTTCTCATGTCAATTCGTTCATAATTTGTTCTGTCAATGCTTCAGAAGATAAATGTAATGTTGAAAAACAATTGATAAAAAGCCTCAAGTCACATGTTGTGGTTCCATAATATTTAGTCAGTTCCTGAAACTATGAAAAAAAAGCTGGTATACAACCAATTTATTCCATAGTCATTATACGTAAATATGTAATCTTTACCTATTTTTGTTGTTTTATCCAAACGGTATATGTCTTTGTTCTTTTGCAACTGTGCACATACCTCATTGTGGTGTTTATACAATCTAAGCATTAGGATCAATCGTTTTTCTTCATATTATGACCATATTTTTTATTCTTTGTAATTTTGATTAATAAATTAGTAATCGGATTAGTTACCATATAAAAATTGTATAGTTTTGATTGAAACCTTTTTTTCTTGCATTTTAACTGAAAAAACCTTCCCCTTATTCTTGTTTATCACTCAATTCTAATCAATGTTGTGTATTATGATATGCTTGATTAAGAATGTAACGTGTACTATCTTAGTCAATTCCGCTTTTCATTACTTACAAAATGAAATGTTCATATTTTTAATTAATAATTCTCTTCTATTGTCACTTTTTTTTCCGAAAACATCAATTTATATGCGCTCAGGTCAACACAATATTCAATCTAGTATAGGGAATACAGGAAATGCAATTAATCCTTTAATGTCTACCGAATTATCTACAACATCATCATCTATATCGTCAATGTCGACAGCAACAACAACAACAACAACAGTACCAGCTCCATTATCCACCTCTTTCAATATTGTTGGTCGAGGTAAATTGAATATATATTACTGTTATTACTTAATTATTATATGAACTGTTGTAATTCATTATGTAAAACTATATTAGGAGATATTTGTTGAAATCATAAATTCAATAACTTGTAATTCTATCTATATGAATATGTGAAAGCTATCAGAAGTTGTGTTTTTTTAATCACTGTACATAAGGTAATTGACTTGATGTAAGACCCGTAAGCAAATGCGCATTATCTAGTTAAAATCCAAGACGATCAGTGTTTGGTGACGTTAGGTGTTATTGACCGTAATCGCAGGTGTGTTCAGTAACTTAAAATTCCTCTGGATCTCCAATTCGTTGACACACATCGTTCCAATTTGTCTTTACGGGTTAAAAATGTTCTTGATGTTCAATCTTTCTAATTACCAATGCTCCTACATTGTTTCGCTTGCTTTTCCATTAATCTTTTTCCATTCGTTTCACGTTGGTAATGAGATAAGCTAACGTTGGTCAACATTTATTTGTGCCAGGTTTTACGCCGATCATAACTGACTGATTTCTGATATTAAAAATTAGCTCATGATGAAATTATTTCACCTCTAATTTTACTACGTTGTACCGAGTGTGTTAGGCAGATCTGGAAAAAATAAAAAAATACAATTACTTAAATCAGTCATTTGTATTATATTGCTTTCACTTTTAAATTGTGGTTGAAATCACGAACCAATCTAAGTCTGACCACCATTGAAAATCTGGAAGCACTGGACAGCCGTTTCATCTGAGTATTGAACTTCTCAGTGGTGCACACTCACAACTCTGCACGCGGGGATCAAACCCAGAATCTCCAGTCTCGCGCCTGAGTTCTAGACCACGGAGTGAGCATCCAATGGTGTTAATATCTAACGTCCGTCCTTTGCTTCCCGGTTTTCAACGGTGGTCTCACTCAGATCTGTCCATGAATTCAATGAAATTCAACAATCTCCGCAAACCCCTAGTGACACTTAAGTTTTAATACCTAGATTGTATCACCAATCGTTAAAAATTCACATGCAATAAGTAGTTTGTAACCATGGATACAAACATATAGATATTTCTTACTCCTTATGCTTTTGTATGCGTCTTAACCTAAAAGAGTCTATCCTTTGTTGATCTAGATATATCCATCCAAAGAGATCTTTGTTGGATCAAAACTGATAACTACAAAGATAATCGCTTTATTCGAGGCTGTATAATTGGTTACAGTAGATAATTATTAGTCATTCATTTAAATATTTAAATAAACTTCACTAAGCATGCAAGTTATGATCATTCAAAAAGCATAACACAACAAGTTTTTTTCAATATGAATTGTAACCAGTACCAGAATTTACTAATCGCATAATAAAAATTTCAGTACCAACATTTCAATGTACTAAAATATCGTCAATCACTGGGTTACGTTCCGACTAAGTTTGTTACGTGCTTTTTTATTGCAATTTGTTATAAGCTGTTTTTTATGGATGATATACCTTGCCAATTGAATGCTCGATTTAATGTACTAGCCGCTTTTAGTAACATCAAACTGAATCTACACGGCAACTTGAACACAATAGTAAAAGGCACGAAGAATGGTGATAAGGATTTATTTGACTCCCAAAAGAAATCAAATTGCTTTAAGAATACACTACTTTCTATATAATTTATTTACAATTAGATTAGTTGTCAGATTTGTATGAATTCAACTGAGTTGTATGTGACAATAATGATTCAATAATTTACTGTATGTGAAAACATATTCACCATATTATACAATTGAGATGGTGGAGAAGATTTGTAGCTCAGGTGGATGACTTTGATGGAGTTTTGTTCTCTGAGCTGGATGGTTTGATCGTGAAGCTTTCATCGTTCTTCTGAACGACATCATCAGCACAAACTTCAGATAGAAGTGAAGTGTTAGCATTTCTTCACCATCAAAATATTATACAATTAAACATCTATAATCATTTTAATGATGTGAATATATGTTACATAAAATTGGCAAGCATATCAATTTCAATATGTCATTTACATCCCAGTTGATTTAGCTCTCTTACTCGCGATATCAATAGGATTGGGTTTATTCGTCAGGAGACGTTTTTCAATAAATCTTTTATTGTGTTTATATATACGTTATAACTTGTGTCCTGTGTCCTATTAATGCATAACGTAATGATACCGCCAATTAGAGAACAGTGATTTACCGACCGGACCAATGACGCATAAAACAAGTACGAGCAGTCTAAAGTCTTTATCGGTAATGCTTCCCGCCTATCCCTGCCTGTTAACTCTAGAACACTAATCTCAGTCTCTGTGACATGAATCATTTATTTCAAACACACTGGGTTTATATACTAACCAAACAGACCACATCGTACCATAAAATAGGAAACAACATTTGTACAATTCTTAACCAAATGTGGCTGTGAATGTGGGAGATTGCAATTAGTAGACAGGGCATAATTCAAGAATAGTAAATCGTATAATAATAGTTCATAGGTCATAACAAAGCTTATGATAAGAGAAACATGAATATGAATAGTTTAGTTATTTAACAATTATACGATAAAAATATACGTATAGTATTGGTCCATAAATGGATCCTGAAGTTACCATTCATTATACTGATCGGAAAATAACAATATATCAAATTGTTAGGACTTGTTCTAATCACGTTTTATAGTTAAGTTTCTGAAATGCTAGTTATAATAATAACAATAGCAGATAGATGAAAAAATGATTTGAAACGATTGACATTCATAATCAAAATAGGCGTATCTCAACTTTTAATTGTAACTGAATAAATAAATTGTAGAGTTTTAAATTTCTAATAACCATAGTTAAATTATTCAATAAAATAAATTAATCATTAGAATAGGATCTTTTTAAAAAATGTAATGTATGCACTTTGTATTGTTTGGCTTGTATCTTCCCATTGAGGTTTAAGACTGCAATTAATCAGTCTGTTATTGGCATAAGTGCATACTGTGCGTATTGCCTTAATTCACAAGCTTTTTGTAAGCAATGATGGATAGGGGCTAGCTATGGAATCCAGTTTGACGCGCGTTTTGTCCTATCTGCGACTCGTCAGCTGAATGTATCTGCATCTCAGAGTTGATGTTCACTCTGGGACTCGAACCCAGTACCACTCGCTTGAAACGCCATCGCGTTATCCACTCAGCTACTGAGTCTTGATAGCCACTTGCTTGTTCAATGAGGTGAATTTAAATTTATATTGATGGAATTATGGAGCTACAAATCTTCTCCACCATCTCAATGTAACGTATGGTTTATATTTAAATCTTCCTCAAGTTTAACATTATATATATATATATAATGATAGAGAGTGAATTAATTGATTATACTGAACATTTCATTTATATTGATAGTATCATAAAGTCCGACAAAATAACAAAATTTTTGCACGAATCAATAGAGCATTTGTCAACTTGTAGTGTAACCGAAATGTTCGTCTCTCAATGAAAGTACATGTGTGAACCGTATAGCAATTCACTTTGTATTACTTTCCAAATGAGAAGAAATTTCTTCGCTCGATTCGTTCCTTCTTTAATTCATGAAGTCATTGATTATTGGTCTGAGTTGTGTAGACATGGACAGACTATCTGGTTGGAATCGACATCACAATGATGACGAGCAGTGGACGGAGACATTGGTTGACATGTCTCGAATTCAGCAACCAACCGAATTTGAGGTTCCTTCCCTCTTTATCTTCCTACAGATCTTCACTCGCAGCTTTGCTCTACAGATATGTATATATATACCTTTCCAATCAGTCTCTTTGACTGAGTTATGTTCTCAAAAATTGGTCATTCTTGTAGTCATTGTTACTACATCACTATGATTCGTTATTTATTCATATTTCAAATTCATCTGGTCGTGTGTGCTGATATAGTATGTTAATTTGGGACAATGGACATTGAGCTAGGTTATACGTTGATCAAGATTCACTGTGTGATTGACGACTACATGCTACTGTTTAACATCAAAATATTTGATGATATGACTACTTGATAAATTAGATATATATTTGAAGAGTTTACTTAATCGTCGTAGAAATTTCAATTTCAAAATGTCATACATTTGAGTATCTTTTTTAATTAATTTTAGTGGATAAGTATTACAAAGGATGATAATAATAGATCCGTGTTTATTTCGATAACCGAAAAAATAAATGTATATATATATATCCGTTTGGCGTCATAGTAACGGTATAAAATCAATTAAATAAGCAAATGCATACCATTTAGGATGTTAACTTTAGATAATGCACATTTGTTCTGAGCTTTATGTTGATCTTCTCTGACTAAATTGGAGATGCGTATTAACTTTAATTTACCAATATTTTGAAGGTGTTACTTGATGCTGTGCTTAATTTGCATATTTTTCTTAAGTGTTCTCATGAAAAGCTTGATTTTCATGATACTAACAATATCATAATATCTTTCATATTGTTTGTTTGAACAAATTCAAAATATGATAGATAATCTCACACTTTGAAATGGATTGTTAAGTTTCTTTGAATTTTGTCTAGAAGTATATTTTAAACTAACTGCCTTCAATAAATCAATAAAAAACAGATAAAGAATTCAGCAAGGAATCTTCTGTGTTCAAAGAAGACTTTTATTTAAGATATGTATTTGTATTTGTAAAATATTGATAACAGTTATGGAATGAAGAGTTGGGTGAATATTTTTTTAGTACGAAATTCCTAGAAAAGAAATTTCAAAACACACGGTTACATGTTTCTAGAGAATGAAATTTAATGTCAACCATAAAATTGGATAGATTATCGGAGTACAATGAGTAAAGCCTCATAAAAGTATTAGTAATCAAGCAAAGGGATTTATTTAGGGACATTTGTCTAAATTTAGGGTAATAAATAGTTAGTGAACTTTCTTTCCACAATTCAGTTCCATTTACAAATACACACAATATTTTATCTTAACATACTTTTCGTTACACACCAGATGTCTCATATTCACTACATTAAATTCTTACTTTTAACATTGTTAACATGATTGGTTGACTTGTGTAAGTTGTACCACTGAAATGTTTTCTAGTTTAGTTAGTTAAAGAATTAATGGTTAATTCATGTCGATCCTATCTATTTGTCTATGAATTTTGCTAATGAACATGAACTTTATATTCTTAGTGCATTTTAATGATAATTCCTTTAATGACTTCTCAGTTGTTCACAAATATATTCGACTTTCTTCTTGATTATTTATCTAATCGTTTCAATTTACTTAAGTTTAGTGCTTTCAATATTATCGACTTTCCATTTAAACTAACCACTTCAAATGATCAGTATGAATAGTTTAATTGAATCTTACTTACTTACGCCTGTTACTTCTAATGGAGCGCCGACCTGCATTCTCTAACCCACTCTGTCCACCACCTTCCTTTCTAGTGCTATCCAGTTTTTGTTCATTTTTCTCATTTTTATCTCCATTTCTCGACTCAATGTGTTCTTTGGTCTTCCTCTTTGCCTTTGGCTTTGAGGGTTCTATGTGAGGGCTTGCCTTGTAACGCAGTTGCGTGCTTTCCTCAATGTGTGTCCTATCCACTTCCAGCACTTTTCCCTCCACTGGAATCTGCTTTATTCTCTTCCATCGTAGGATGTTTCTGATAGTGTCTGTCCAACGGATCCGAAGTATTTTTCGTAGACAATTGTTAATAAACACTTATATCTTGTGTATGGTGGCTTTTGTAGTTCTCCAAGTTTCCACCCCATACAGTAGAACTGTGTTGACATTTGTATTGAAAATTCCGACTTTGTTGTTGGTTGACAGTTGTTTTGAATTCCAGATGTTGAGTCAGTCTGTTTTATTTCGAGATCGGTAACATTTCAGGGTGTTACATAAATCAACAACCAGTATACCTGCATATACTCATTGGTGATCATTGATAATTAGTTCTAGAGGAAAAAACGCTGTATATTCTACAAAATAGAACATACTTAATATCAACTTCATTACTACTAAATTATATAAATTATCCATTAAATGTGTTATGTCTCTCTATGGCCGAATAATTATATCACGTGATACGATTACCGATTAGACACCGACTTTAACGACCAGACTAATGACGCATAAACCTATTCTAACGGCTTAGATTTCTTTTTGGTCCTTTGAAATAGTAGCTTCTCGCCTAAACCCAGTCGGTTCAGTTCAGAACAACACCTTCAGCCTCCGCGACACGAAACGTATATTTCAGACATACTTGTTTTATATACAAACAAATCAGACAGCATTATACCATAAAATAGAAAATAACAATTATGCAAGTTCAACCGAAAAGTGACTTTAAGTGTTAGAGATTGTAACCTGGGAATCGGAACTATATCTTAAAAATAGTAAATCATATAATAGTAGTCAATATATTAAACGGAAGCTTATAAAAGAGATACAACAAGAATATTTGTAATATTAGTTTATATCTAGTTCCTAGCGATTTTTATTTTATACTTCATCCGGATATAACAAACTATATGATGGATAAATGGCAAAAATAAAATTTTATAGTATTGCAACAAGGCAATTGCAATATAATTTTAGTTAAATAGTTCATTACACTAATAGGTTGGTCTTTTTTTTTGTTTTTGTTTGTTTTAGTCAAGGTAAAATCTCAAATGGTTAAATGTACTTTCCAGAATGTATCTTCATTATTATTATTTTTTATTTTGAGTTTAGTTTATTTGTTTGGTAAACTATTCAGATTTGATGCAAAAGCTACATTCATTATAATAGGATAATGTAAAACTATCGTTTCCAAATATCTTTGTTTGTATTTGTCTATCCGATGTTTTAGAGAGGAGAATATAAAAAAAATAATAAGCTAGTCTCCTTATATTTCTCTCTATTGCATATCATTGTAAATGGCTTTATAGTGATAAATAGTACATTTGTAATAATCTAACTTTATGAAATCAACTCAGTCAATCATCTACAACGTAGGACCAGGCACATATATGTATCCCTACAAGCTACTATACCACATTTGCACAACGTTATGAACACCAAATTCATAGAAGCCGTTACTTTAATAGTAGTATTAAATGAATAAAAAGATTGCATATAAGGATATGATACAAAGAGAAAGAATTCGTTCGTAGAAATAAAGGTATTAGGTAATTTTAATCTCATAGTTTAAAGGAAGACAAAGATTGTATACACCTACACCATTGTGATCGTTTCTGAGCCATGTCAACCAGACGTACAATAGTTATCGATCCAACTAAAGATGAACTTACTTTTGGGTTTAGGAATCTAGGTAGTAGCACCGCTATGTTTTTCATAAATAGATTGCTTCAAAGTCAAGTTTGTACTCGTGATACATTCGTGCACCAGCTGAATTATTTCACAACTCCAACTTCAATACCGTAAATGGAATAACTTCATCCCTGGTACGGTCGAGAGTGGAGAGAGTCAACTGTCTCTCTCTCTCGAAATGCTCTCACATGGCCACGTGCATAAAACCACTGTCAGGAAAGTCCTACTCACTCCCTTCTCGCGGCATTACTGTTGTTTACGAAATTGAGAGAACAAAAAGCGAATGTCCGACGCTTTAATCGGGTTGGTGGATATGGATTCACCTAGGGGAGTTGGAAAACCCTGATTCCAAATCAATGGTGCATATGGACTGGCTCCAGGATCCTGAGGGAACAAATGGCGTATGAACCAGTTGTTGGTCACCGTTTATCATGGGACTGCATCTCCTGACATTGGTCCACTGCCTTATGGATTGGACCAATAGTTCAAAGAGTCGAGGTGTGTCCTTCTAAGGAAACCACCTGCTTCTGTTTGGGTACCCGGGCAGTATCCCATCCATTACACAAATCGAATGATTTACGTGACACATATCTATTTGGTGCCTCATTGTACCTATGTTTATGTGTTTAAATATATACATATATATATATAGTAAAAAGTTCAGTTATTGTGCAGAAGCTTTGTTGATCGGCACCCTAGAAGAAGTTAATTCACCTTCAATTTTATTCAATTATATATTTATTATTTATTGATTGTATTGTATCAAACTAAGTAATTATCGCAGAGTTTAAAATCACTGTGAATAAATCAATGAAAAAATAGAAAAAAAAACACATTGAAAATCAATAAACAAAGTTCACCTTGAATAAATTTGTTTAATAAAAGTTAAAATGTCACTTAACAACAATCACCTTAAATCAATATATGAATTCTAAAGTTGATTTTCATTTTCATACGTTGTATTTCAAAGATTCTACATCTCCCGTTTCCCAACCCCATCCCCCATCAATAATCAATTACATTGTTTATTTCTTTTTATAAAGTGATCATATTGAATGAGATTGTAACTATTGAGTTAGTGATTTGAACTGTAGTTGTATGATTTACATGAATAAACTATGTTACATTTATATGTAAAGATTTTCTCGATTATTGATTTGCATTAAGATCCAGTTACACACAAAAATTAGTGTTGACTTTGGTCGTCATCGTGATAATTTGGGTAGATTTTAGGATTTATTGTTTAGTGTGTATTCTGTTTGTATGTTGCTTTCGTTTTTATCTGGAGTTTACAATGAATGTCTGCATTTTAAACTGTTTCTATAAATTATTAGTAAGATTTTCTATTTTCCTATTGTTGATATTCAGGGTTCTAGTCGATTAGCCTGAGTTGGTATATGTGTATCGTAAGAGAATGCCTTGGTATTGCTTTTTATTTAGTTACACGTTTTTAGTAGTATCTGGTGGTTGGGGCTATTCAACAGAAACCCTAAATGTAATCGAAGTTTAGGGTTATCTATTGAGTAACTTCAATCATGCCTAACATCTCAACATGTTTTACAGGAATGATGGTAAATCAGTTGATGAGGCTATGAATCTACATCGACTGAGATGGTTGGGCCACATATTACTCATACTCAACCACCGATTATCATAACACGCAATGCTGACTAGTGTTGGAGACGGTTGTAAGGAAGTTGGGGGGAGGTCAAACCAAGATGTGACATCAGTGCTTGAAGTTACTAACTTCTGGTCTGAGCCATGTTCGTAGATGCAGACTACTAGGCTAGGGTTCGCGCAATTATTGTAACCAGTGGTTGGAGACTCTGGATGAAATAGCTCAGAATCGATCACAATGGCGTAGGTATATACACTTTTTGTTTTCTTTTAAACTATCTTTTATATATTATCACCACTGAATTAACTACTTCTGTGAATTTGGTGTTCGTCCTGTTGTGCTAATGATGTGTCGCAACTTGCACCGATGCCTATATATGCCTGGTCTTACTTTGTAACTTACTGACTGATACTTTCTAAAATGTATAGTTACCACTTTTCATGGATGAATTCAAATAACTCATCTTCTCTTCTTTTTCTTAAATATTTCAATTATCAGAATAATAATTTTTATCCTACCGTTTCCGGTACATAATTAATAATAAACTTCTCTCTTTCATCTAGGGTAAAAATATTCCTGTTCAGTAGGCTTGAAACTGAATATATGTATTTGTCAAGTGTTATATAGTTCGTAAAAATATCTCTTACTAAATATCTGCGAAACAAATCATACAATAAACCGTTTTTAAAGCCATCCTAAACTTCTCAAAAACCTAAGTGTTTATTTGTTTAGAATATTTTACATTGCATACATTTTATTGTATGTGAACTAGGGATTCTATCTAATTAAACGAACATTATTATAGTTGGAGCATGAGTTTATTCCTTCCTTAAGTGACTTTCATGGAGATTTTGTATTATTTTCATCGTTTAAAACTGAAGATAGTTGACGGAGGTTTCGTTCTTTATTTTAACTATACGTCAATAGCACTTACTTATGACTGCTCACTAGATTGAATTATAGATATTCGGATCTTTCAATAGACATTATATCACATGATTACTGAGTTTATGTTTTAATCGTTTTAACTTATTTATTATGCTTACTTATATTAGGTTTATTTGATCAACCAGTGTTAGTAGCAAGTGGGAAATCAAGCACTATACTCTCATCATCACAATCATTAAATAAATTGTCAATAAATACAAATAATAATCCTAATGGAAGACAAACACCAGCGAATTCTAAACATAATGAACATAATCAACTAGAACATGGTATTCATCATTTATCTAAAGATAATGAACTTGAAGGTTCCAATATCCTACTTGGTATCGGTTTAAATGATACATCAAATGTTACATCTGCTAATTCCGCTCCAAATGTATGTGATATTGATTCGAAAGGAGGAACACATGAGGTTTGTGCTTCTATTTATAATCATATATCTGAACGTTTCTCAGTTTTGTGCATATGTAACAGACTAAGAATATGTTTGATTGATTATTGTTCTCTTTAATATATGATGGGTAAATTTTTTCTGATTTTCTATTGAAATCATTTCAACAGAATGATATAATCCAATTCTTCGAAACTTAAGATTATAAATAATGTGGAGATATAAAGTGGTGGTTGGAGGTTATCTACAGCAAACATGGACCTAGATTTCGTCCTATTTGACACTCGTCACCAAGGTGCACTTATAATCCTGAGGGAACTGATGCCCCCTCTTCCCCTTTGGTGGTTTTGATCTCGTGTCAACCAACTTCACAGTCAGAGACTTTAAAACTGAGCTATATGTACTACTAGTGAGCTACTGTAGGATAAAGACGTATTTAAAATAATCGACCACTGAGCAGTGTACAACGTCGTATATGTTACATCCTTCATAGCGCTGAACGAATTCTAGTCATTTAAATGGTCATTTATTCATACGGTTTAAGTAATGGTTATCATGTAGACTAGTGGCCTCATCGAAACTTGATAGATGCAATTTAATCTGTACTAAGATTGACTGCATACACATTGCATCACTACTAAGTAATCAATCAATTGTCAGTAAATGTTTAGTTTCATTAATCCTGTTATCTCATGATCTAATCATAAGTTTATTAATAATTCATCAATGTTTATGGATTTATGATGAAACTATTATAGCTATTTTATAGCTGATAAAGATTCATTCGTTATATCACTACGATCAATGATGTTTGACATTTTATCAAGGTTCATTTAAAATGAAGTCGACTTGTTTATGCTTTTCTAGAAACAATTTTTCTATGTTTCGAGTTAATATTATTATGATGATTATGATTAGGATTATAAGCATGATGTGATCTGAAATTTTGCTTACAAAAAGAAAACTCACTTAGAACCTTCGGAGTAATTATTTTTTAATGTTTTCGTATACTTTTACATTTTAAACATTTAAAGCTTTTATATCAGGAGGACTAAAAACCTGTTTTGTCCTAATGTGAGACTCAACAGGAGTTCGTACCCATGTCCAGTTATTTTTGATTGATCTTACGATGCTAATTACTGACTCTATCTTGAAACGGAACCCTAACTACTATTTTAATAAAGGATATCCTACTGATTGAGACGCTGCTATGAAAGATACTATGAAACGACTGAAGAATTACTATCATTTAGTCGCTTGTTCTTTCATTCTTCTATACAATACATGGTATTAAAACTGATTGATATTAGTTCATATTTCAATCTTCATTCTAATTTTCGCCTATTAACTTGAGTATTTCAATGTCAAACAGCTGTTATGGTTAGTTTAACTTTTATTAAAAGTTAATGCAACTAACCCAAATCACATTCTCCTTCTCTATAGCAATATGTTAAAATGATTCATACAAAAATACCAGGTATTTTTCTGTTTTACTTAATAGTTAGTGATTAACTGATTAATTTGAAGATTTCACTGAAAGTGAACACTGTCATTTTTACATATTTGTATATCGTTTTGTCTAATGACTAAATCAAAATTTTTTAGAAGTTAATCTGACTTCATTTAGAGAACCATCAAAACGTTAACATCTGTTGAATCCTTTTTTACTTTTATTCAATCCATTAACTCTGATATTAGTCCTATTCTAAGTTAATAATTTCCTCAACGAACTTCATATCTTATTAATTGAAAGCACCTATCTACAATATATTACTCAATATTGTATCAGTCAGTCAAACAGGACATAGAACTTAGCACATTTATATACTGATTTAAGTCGGCATATCACATTTACATACAGTGAGATGAAATTATCAGCGCGAATTCCATAGCAGTAGAGATACTAATAATATTCAGGGAAAAAGAAAAGCCGTATTATATCACACATTCGTTAATTTTTAATACATTAACCTCCAGTACTGGTCGATTTTTTTTAAACCTTTTTCTTAAACCAGTTAAGTTTTTACTTACAGGATGTGCACCGATGTCCAGTTATTTTTGATTGATCTTATGGCGCTAATTACTGACTTCATCTTGAAATGGAACTCTAATTATATATATATAAATTACAGCCTACTTTTTAGATGTACCGTTCCCTTAGTATTTTAGATAGGAAAAATTTTGACTGTCGGCTAACCCATCTATCTTGACTCAAGATTTTCTTTGACTTTCTAAGAACTAAAGCAATTTATATAAATGTGGAGAGAAAGATGAAGAAAGAGTTTTTTCATCAGGAAAATGAAATGTTAGAGTAAATTTCTTTTCTCAGTTTTTTTTATTTATTTGTTGTATTGAATAAAAAAATAGTAGCTTCATTAATATAAATAGAAATTCAACTATACGATTGTTTATAATCTTGGTTGAATCTGGATCATAGAGTAAACATCAACAGTGGGATTTAGGTACATTCAACTAATGAGCCCCATATAAGACATAACGTGCTTCCAGTTTATCCTCTTACTAGTAACAATCCATCTATTCTGTAGAAAGAATGTTGTCTATGTTGTTATTAGTTCTATTTTTCTTATCTGTTTCTTCTTTCCTACTTTATGATTATTCGTATTATTTTAGGCGTGTGTATCGCATAGTTTTCGACAAAGAATATTACAGAAGAAATCGAAAAAATTACAAAAACTACGTGATAATTCTACACTGGTATGTTTTAAATTGATTTGCTAGCCGTTGCTTGGTTTATTTATTCCTCGTACATTGATTACAATTGTGTTGTATGTTGATCCAAGATCTATATGCTTCAATAGATTTGTTTTGATGGTTTGCATGTGTTTTTTATTCGATTGTTCATCTAGTAGAAAGAAGACTCAAGTGTTTATTCAGTATTTTATAACCTTTTTTCGGTCATCATGATTAACTAATTGAGAAAACAAATACAATCTATGTTATTGTTTGACGTTCCATGGTAAATAGATTTTGTTTTATAAACACTCGTATTGTTGATTAGGAGTTTTAAAGCCTAACATTTAATTCATATTAGCACTACTATTGTTTAAATCTGTATTACCCAGCTTCGAAGTTGGTGATTTATATCGTCCTTGGTTTATCTGCTCAATAATATACGGAAGAGAACTTGTCTCGAACAGGGTTATGGCGTTGACACGATAGGCTAGCTGGTTCAACTTTAAGGCTAGAAATGTGTGAGTACGAACTGAGACTAACGTCCTTTAGCAGAGACAAACTATTATATTACCTAATTCAGTTCGCAAGCAAGAAATAATAAGAAAAAAGGGATTTTTTTACTGAATAGATTACTCACATATATGATTGGTGATGATAATAATTGGATTAAATAAATAAAGTCATAGAAATATTGATAATCCATTTATACATCAGTTGAATCAAGCTACGTGATTAATATTTATTACGAAGAGAATTTTTCGTTTGTTATAGTTCAACATTCTAACTAATAGTTATTATGATTATAATTAGCTTAGGGCATAATGTACTGTTTAAAGCCTAGGTCGTAATTACAGTTATCTCACTATATAGTTTCCTCTCCTTTCTCTTATAACTTTGTAGAATTCGGTTTTGAATTCGTCTATCTCTAAACTTTTCACCGATTTAATTATGGAATTTTACCAAGATCTTTTTTGATATCAGTATTGTCAATGTTTGTTTTTAGCGAATGAAATGATTTACAACTATTTTTTTGAAGGCGATCTCGCTGGCTAATACATTTCAATTACTAAATAATATCTTCTATTCAATATTTTATATTTATTTATTTGAACACAAAAATATTGGTACAATGGGGCACCAGATACATATGCGCCACACAAATATCATTTGATTTGTGTGAGGGCTGGGATACTGCCTAGTTGCCCAAACCGAAGCAGGTGGTTTTCTTGGGAAGCCACACCTGGAGCCTTCGACCTAAAGGTCTGATCCACAAGGCAGTGGAGCAACGTAAGAAGATGCAGTCCCATGGTAACCGGTGACCAACAATTGGTTCATACACCATTTGTTCCTTCAATATATTGGAGTCCATGTGCACCACTGGTTTAGAATCAGGGTTTTCCAACTACCGTAGGTGGACTCTTTGTGTCCATCAACTCGGTTAAAGCGTCCTCTCAATTTCGTAAACAACAGTAATGCCGTAAGAAGGCAGTAAATAGGACTTTCTTGGCAGTGGTTATATTCACGTGGCCATATGAGAGCGTTCCGAGAGGGAGAGCGGACTGTCCTCACTCTCGGCCGTATCAGGGCATTTGGGGGCCTTCTATTCAATAACGTATGTAATACTATTTTCAAGTCTTCTAAATAAAATGATTTGTAAATCAGAATTTAAATTGACCAAAATAATAAAAAAACGTTTAGTGATGAAGTGAAAAGAATCCACTTGTTTGATATCGGCTGTCAAATGTCATTGTTTTATACTTGAATCTCTATTTTTTTCTCTCTTTCTATTGGAGACGAGATTAGTTATCAATTGTTTTTCTCTACATAGCAATTTAATATTCATAGAATTATTATCATTAGAAAGTTGTCATTTAAACATTTACTCATTCATAATTAACAGGCTAGTAAACACATAGCTAAGGTATATGTTTATGTATTGTATGCTATAGGTATTAAATTATGGCCACAAAAGTATACCAGTTTACAGAGTATCTTAATAAATGGTTATCCTATATTTTATGTACTGATTTAGTTCTTATTTTAAGATGTAGATTTTAATTTAAAACTATTTGTATATTGTAATATTCTACTCAGAAAAGAATAATTGTTTAGCTCATTCTTATTAAACTGTTATATGCTTATTTTATTCTTATTAAAATCTATGAATTCCAATGATAGCCTGTTTAAAATGAACTAGGTTTGTGGATTAATTTAGTATACTATATTGTTCTTTATCAACCGTTTGTCTATGGAACTTGAAAGAATCCAGTGTAATTGAGATTGGATTGCATCGACACCCGAACTAATGATAGGAAGTGAAGTAGTTGAGCGTGTCGACCGCTTCACTTATCTTGAAAGTCTCACCAGCCCTTGTGGTCTGGTGTGTGACGAAATCTCAGCATGGATACAGAAGGCTCGATTAACTTTTGCCAACTTTCGTCATTTATGGCGTAGGCGAGATATCCGTCTACCAACCAAAGGACGTGTTTACTGCGTAGCAATTCGTTCCGTCCTACTTTATGGCAGCGAAACGTGGCTGGTAAGATTAGAGGATATTAGTAGGTTACTAGTATTCGACCATAGGTGTCTTCGAAACATTGCTCATATATCCTGGGACCATGAGGTAAGTAACGCAATTGTTAGGAAACGGGTACTAGGTAAGGATGGGAAATCAATTGATGACGTAGTGAAACTTCATCAGTTGAAATGGCTGGGACACGTGTTACGTATGCCCAACCGCCGACTGCCTCAACGTGCGATGTTCAGTGGTATAGGAGTAGGTTGGAAGAAAGGTAGGGTTGGCCAGACCAAAACATGGCACCAGTCCATGAAGTCACTGACAAGTGAACTGAGCCATGTTGGTAAGTGTAGACGACCTGGTTGGGGACCGCGAGATGATAGCAACCGATGGTTAGAGACCCTGAATGACATGGCTCAAAATCGTTTGCAATGACTCAGGTGCATCCACTCTTTGTGTTCTCCCAAATTCTAATCTTCTGAATTCTTCATGTCCCTTTTTTGTTTCTCTTTCCAAATTTATTTCACTGGATTATACTCCTTGAATAACATCTTCAAACCCTAATCTTCCCGATTACTGCTTATACTCTTATTACCTCTACCACTACGTGATTTGAATCGACAACTGCATCTGTGTGCTAATTTGGTATGGCAACTCGAACTGATGCACGTACGTACGAAGTTCTACGTTGTTACTGACTGACTGACTAACTTAATTGAGATCATGAACAGTCGAAGTTAGACATTAACACGGTTGGATGCCGGCTCAGTGGTCTAGATGTTAACCGAAGATCTGAGTTTGAGACGCGTATGTGGGATCGCGGGTGCACACTACTGAGGAATCCCATAGTAAGACGAAACTTCCGGGTTTTCAATTATGGTCTAACATTGATCGATTCATGTTCTCAATTAATTATAATCATACTAATTATCCTGATACTCATTAATTCTTCAGTGTTTCGTACCTGATACAACTACGCTTGAGTTTATTCAGTTGTACGGCAAATTTTCAAATAACTATAAATTATCTAGTGGTTAATTACCTAGAGACTTATTTTGTAGAGTTTTAATAAATAGCTATTCCTAATTACTGATTTCAATAAAGTCAAGCTAAGAGAACAATCGGTCATTTTTCTATACACCACATAAACAAATTGCACACATTGTCTAGTTACATAGTGTAATTATCAGATTGAAACGTAATTGATCAGTATAAATCAGTCAATTATTAGTGAATAAACAAATAAATTACAACAGCGACCAAATCGGTGTACAAATTCTTATTGCTTATCAATTTGAATAGTTATCGTAAGTGAAAATATTACAACTATATCAATATAGTGCTGTCCACCAGTTTTGTTTTCTTCAGTTAATCATGTGTATAGAATGTTGTACAAACGAAGAAAAGCACACTATATGGATTATGAGTTTTCTAATTTAACCTATTAAGTTATACTTAACGTACTTTTTTGTTGTCTGACATTTATTTGTCGTTTTTTTCTCTTTCATTTTACCAGTCGAAACAAGCATCAAATACCTCTTTGTCTAGTTTACAACCATCAGAGAATAATTTGAACCAAGTAAATTCTGAAACAATTGATAATACTACTTTAAATTCAGACAATGATAAATCCTGTAAGTGTATTTTCTAGTTCTCTTTGTTTTTTCATGAAATTACTTTGTTTTTTTTGTGCTATTGATAGACTGGAGGATTTCATCGTTAGACTTGTTTAAGAGTAAACAAAGATGGATAGTGGCTAGCAGTGGAATCCAGTTTAACCACTGGATACCACTCTAATCCTTAGGAAATTGATCCATTTCTTAGATAATAAAATACACTTGTCCTTTAGGTTACTTCTCATCGCCATCGATTGACCTTCACTCTTCGTCTTCCATTAGATCCTGATATCTGAATTCTTCTTGGCACTTTGTGTACCACAAATTCATTTTCGAATCATATCATTTAAACCTAGTCTTTATTGCTACTATTACAGATACTAATAATACAAACCTGAGATTTGTCTTGATGACTTCATTTCGTTTTGCTAATGTAGTTTGGCATTTTTTAAACTGATCTGTATATTTTCCACGTACTACGTTACTTGAAACTGACTAATTGTTTAGTGAAGTGAGTTTATACCTGCTGATTAATGAAAATTATAATTTTGTGATGTATTATTTCTTGTATTGTCGATCGATTACGTAAAGATCATTTCAGTTAGTTTAATGCTTAGTTTAAATAAACAAATGACAATGATTTTTATCCATTTTGGTTACTTTCATCTATCGAAAAATCGTCTTCCTGTCAGTGCGTTCGTAAATTTCATTGAAAGGAGGATTTTTTTGTTATTCTTGGCTTTTGAATCTCGAATAAGCAAATAAAAATCATTATAATCAGTAATGTTTGCCTAATTGTTTCATCATCCAGAGAGTAATCTTCTTTAGTAGGATGATTTTTTTTCTGCTTCTTTTTTTGAAGATCCAAGTCTGGATTCTAGTGAACATCCTCCAAGTCATTCAACATGGCCACCTCCATCATCTAACAATACTCGTATGAATTATCCTTTAAAACCAGAAGAATCTTCGCCTAAATTAAAATCAGGTCATACACCTAGTGGTGTATCTTTATTACCTCCAACTAGACGTCGTCTACCAGCTGAAAATTCCTTATCAAAAGGTTCACGTTCTACTAGTCAAAATTCTGTTAATAATACTGTTATTAATCATTCTGAATATTCAAATGTTGATTCAAACGAGTAAGTTAAACATGAAAGTATTTTTCTTTATAGTTTCTATGAATTCGGTTTAAAAAATTTCATAAAACACTTAGAATTTTACAATTTGAACTGATGTAAATACGTGACAAGTTTAAGATTGCTTATAACTGACTGATTGCATTTCACGGAATTTGTCAGCTCACTTAATCAATAGATTATGCGCATAACTGGCGTTATGTGTACGTTCTTGGGTCACTCTTATCTTCAATGTGATAGAGCTAGTGAATCTCCTTAGATAAGTAGAGTAATTAACACACACAATTACTGGAGCAACATTCTTTGAACTAACGGATTCATTTGAATAGTGTTGATATGATGAAACGAAAAGTCAATTTTCGATTGATTTACTCATTATGAGATTTGTTCAAGTTTACTTCTGTTTGATTCAATGTAATGGTTACTCTTTTCTTTTTTCGTATGATATTTTATTCTGTATAATATACGATATTCTTGTATCCGATTGACATGAACCATGCTCAGTCTGTGATTTGTTATAACTCTAAGTATGTTTCATATATGTGAATTACATTCTAATTATTAATCAAAATGGGTGTATAATCAATATATAAATGAATGTATTTTCTACTAGAGTCGTTGTCGTCGTCGTATTTTGGGGTTAATAAGTCACCACTTATACCAATCTTTGTGTTCTTACTTTCGCATTGTGGGAATCGCAGAGGTCCCTCGTTCCGAGTATAAGTGATAAGCGTTTCCGATATAACAATCAACGACAACCAAATACAAAAGGTAGCATTAAAAGAGCCAACACAATAAGCATTCAAACGACAAATTATAACAAGTATTAATGAAGATATTCACAAATTGCTATTATTCGCTTAAGCTTCTGATGAGAATAGTAACATTTTTCAGAAATTAGTTTTTGCTTACCGATAGCCGGTAACAATCACTATTTTTATAGAATATTATAACATTCTTGTCAGTAATTCTGATGATACTTTATAAATTTTTTACAGCTGTAAACGCTTCAGCATAAATCAGTTTTCTAATCATTTTTAGTTCTTTCTTCAATTAGTCGACGTGTCCCAACAAATCTTCGTCGTACTGTTTAGTAGTATGAATAGATGTTATAAACTGAAAAATACATACTAATTTTTTTAATGAATTTTTCTTTACGATTCATGTAATTTGGATATGAATCTTTTATTTAAACTTACAAACATTGGTACAAAAGGGCATTATCTCTGTGCTAATGTGGTATGGCAACTCGAACTGATGTACGTATGTACATAGTTCTGCGTTGCTGCTGGCTGCTGGTGGTAGTATGAATAGGTGCTAAAAACTGAAAAATACGTATTTAGTAAAAACTAGTTTTTTCTTTACAATTCATGTAAGTTAGGTATGAGTTTTTTTATCTAAACTGACAAACATCGATGCAAAAGAACACCAATATATATATATATATATATATATATATATATATATATCATAAAAAGTAGTTATCATTAAAATTATGTGTGGCCTGGGATATTGTCCGGGTGCCTAATTCGAAGCAGTTAATTTTCAAGCGACTATTCTCCTTGCCTTTGACTTGGAGATTTATTCCATGAGACAGGGGAGCAACTTTAGGAGATGCGGTCACATGGTACCCCGTGCCTAGGAGTTTGTTCCTACTCCAATTATCCCTTAGGATCCTGGAGCCTATGTTCTTCACTGATTCGGAATTAGGATTTTTTGACTCCCCTAGATTGACACTCTGTACCCACCAACTTCTTTAAAGCATCGAATATTCCTTTTTCATCCTCTCTAGTTTTTTTTAAAAACCATCGTCACCGTGAGAAGGCAACGGGTAAAAATAGATACGATACGTATAATATAGTGGTTATGTAGCAGTGAGAACTCAATCCAAGAGAATTTACCCATTTTTAATTTATTATATGCGTTAATTAAACATTGACAGTTTATCTTTTGTGACAAAATAGTGATTTTGTATTTATAACTGTAACGTTTGATAAAGAATTTGTCTAGAATAACTGTTCGCTCTAAAAACTTTTTTCCTTGAATATTCTATGAGGATTTTTGTGTAGTTATGTGCTTGGCAGTAGAAAAACTAAATTATATATTGTAATAAGAGTTGGATATGTCTGCTACTAATTTGCTTAGATATTCGACTCTTAGTCGGTGAGTTAACGTAAACAAGCTTTAGTCTACCCTTTCCATGACTTAACTGTGACAGTAATATTTTTCACACAAATGTAGATTATATAGTCTTGTTGTCGTTAATGTGTCTCATCGTTATATATTCCATAAATGATTTTGTGTGTTTTCTGAATGAAATCCTTATCTGATTTATTTGATCCATCTCGTCAATTGATTTTTTTTCTCTTAAACTGAACACGAAACATTATTAGACGGTTGCTTGTCTAAGTTATGTAAATTTAAACATCCTGGATGAAGTGTTACGAGTAAGGATAGACAGTTGTTAGTCATGCTATTGCATATAATAAAGTATACATTGATGTAACTATACATTTACAGATAGTTTTGTACCCCAGTGTATACTCACCTGTTTTCTTTCTCGTGACTTTTTTACATTGTTTTAATTGTTTTCTCATTAGATCAATGAGTTCGAATCTCCATTGTACAGATAATCCAATAACCAGTAGCGATACATCCTTGAAATTAAGCGATTATGATAAAAATCCTCTACCAGATAAACCACAGCTTAATAAAGTTCGTTCAGTAGTTAGTCTTTCTGGAACTCCACCAACACTACCTAGTGCTTTAAATTTAATTAATTCAAACGATTGGGAAGATAAAGTGACTGGATTAGAACTATTGGCACAAATTGTTACAGAACAGTCAGTACATTTAGTACAAACTACACAAACTGGTTCTGCTTCAGCTGGTTCTTCTAGACAGCCTGCTACAAATTTATCCAGTTCAGCGCCAACATTGATACTTACTGCCGAAACACTAAGTCAAGCTGTACAAGCTGTAATAACTGAATGCAGAAATCTACGTTCTCAAGTAATAAACACAATTTCTTGATGATTGAAATAAAATAAAATATTTCTATCATTTTTAAAACTCAGTTTCCTACAAACATTTTATGTGATTTGAAATTGATATCAGTCATCTGAGTTCCTATTTCTTTTCTACTAATGTTTCCACAATTTGAGTGGAGTATTCTAAATCCTCGATCATATGGGGATACGCTCGTCTATCTACGAAATCTCAATATCAGACTGTTTCCTTCTTTTTCAACTTCAACACGCTAGTTAGAAAATATCAAATGATCAGTAAATTAAATATCACATAGTTTCTCCATGCTGTGTTTGACGCATACACTTATCAAAAGTGGTGGATGGAAAACTCTGAATCTACAGTTTAATTTTGTTATTGATAAGCAATGATGTTTATTATGTGAATTTTAGTCTTGTATCACAATAAGGAACCTTCTAAATGCGTAATTCTATTGACTTTGTTACTAGAGGATACAGGTTGAACAAGTTAGGAATACTTTACTAATAATGGTCTAGATCTGAATTGCGTAGAAGTTGTCTCCATAAATGTCATCACTTCGACGTGGATTTCAGTTAGTATTGGGTTGTTGGAGAAATTTGGGACAATTTCTTGGTTTCACATTTATTCCCAAGTACTTCTAAGAGACAAGCATTCGACATCAGATTTGAAGGTTCTGGGTTCTGTTCCCACTAGGTTCATTGTATGATAAAACAATTGTCTAGCGTTCTTTGTTAAAAGTGAAGCAGTGACTCAGTGGTTAAGATTTTCAAATTTCAGCTAATAAGCCCACGGATTCTAACGTCATGTTTCCTAATTTGGTTTAAACAGTGGCACAATATCACCACCCCTCACATTTAAGGTGTGACTCGATTCTAAGTATTCGAATCTGTACTTAGTAAGCAGTTAATAGTGACACTTATTTATGCAAGGCGTATCTCCAGACTTCAATTTACGTACAAGTTCAGATCATTTAAATCTGACATGTGTACACTTACTGATATTACTCAACATAATATTATCTCTTCCTGGATTACGCTCGAATTCATCCGATGAAGCTTGAAGTTTATCCATTAGGTTAAATGATTTGACACGTTAGTACACTCTTTTTCTCGTTAAGTCGTTGAAGGGAAAATACAGGAAGCTCTAGACTTTGTTATCGTGCTGCATATTACTCATCTATAATTGTCTATTATTGTTTTAGTCATATTGCCCAATCTTATTTCATGTGTTCTAATACCTCAATATATTTTAACTTTGATATAATTTTAATAGTACTATTCAGTTTGATAGATGATTATTTCATTATTTTTCTTTGCTTCGCGATAATCTAATGAAAGGTTTCACGTCAAGCTGTACAAACTATGGGTAGTTTATTTCAGGGTTTAAATAGAGCAATGGATCCACATGTCGACGTATGTATACGAGTATTGTTAAGTAAAACTGGTGAAGCGGCTGCTGCTTTCTTACGCGATGAAGTTTCAGTAATTATGGATGAAGTTATTCAACATGCTAGTCCATCGCGTACACTACAAGCCTTGATTCAACATGGTATAGGGTAAGTATAAATGTTGTCTATGTAGTTATGTAGTAAGAATTGACTTACATTGAGTCACGAAACATCAGAAAATTTAAAAACTTAATTTTTCTGCTCACTGGGATATTACTTTTGTTAATAACTACCTATCCAATGCTCAATTTCTTTGAGATTACCAAGTCAAACCATGGTAGTGATAACTATTGCCATTTTAGTTATTAGGTTGTTTAAATAAAACTTTTTAATTAGCTAATTTTCTCATCTTAAATGACCTTTATCAAAGTGTTTCACTTACTAGATGTTTAAAAAATTATGACAAACCTGCGTAGATTTCTAAAAGAAGTGTAGTATCACTCTTAAGACCTACATCATTATGAAATACTAACCTATTTTCATCATATTAGCGTTGATCGAGTTCTATACTTAGAAAATGCAATGCTACTTTTCAGTTAACTTTCAAATTCATCAATTAATTAGGTATACAGCCTGATGTTTTGTACTTTTTTACACCTATTGATATTGTGTGTGTACATTTAAGTTTACTGCACTGTTCTATTGTCTAGCTTAAGTGTTGTTAATAATCTTTTGGGATAACCAGTATTTTGACTTTGAATGTATGACCATTTTAATGGTTAGAATTTGATCAACACTATGAAGTGTTTGACATATACGTCATTGCTTACTGTTCAGTGTTCGACCAATGGTAGTCCTACAGAAGATCACTCGTGGCTCGTATAGCTCAGTTGTATTGTTCCGGATTAATAAACTGGCTGATATGTGCTCGATTCCGCCAGGAAGCATTAGTTCCCTTGTGATTATAGGTACACCTTAGTGACGAGTGCCAAATAGCACTAAACCTAGGTCAGTAGTTTCCTGTCGACTAACTTCAACCATTACCTTATATTTCAATGCAATGTATGTGGCAATGAGTTACTTAAACTTGCGACCAAATCGCAACTTGACTTACATGAAATAGGTCATTACTCAGTGAGTAATTAATTGTAAATAGATTAATAAACTTCTAGTCCATTGTTGATACTTTTATTTATTGTTACACTCACTGATAATCCCTAAGATTAACGACTGTTAATGCATCTGAACTGTTGGTCAGTCACTTATAGTCATGTTAATGTATTCAATAGAGTGAGTCATTCTACTTTATTGAAAAGTATAAGATATTCTGAGTATTCTATCCAAACATATAGAATTGTTTCCCCTTATGAAACTTTTCTTTTTGCCGATAGACTAATGTCACTAGTATTAATCAAAGTATACAATTTTCACTTCGTTTAGTAGTTTTAAATGAAGAATAAGCAGTTAACATGTCAGACGATGTAATCCCATCATGTATTTACTTAAACCTTACGAAATTTTGCTCTCCGTCTGCATATATCTAGTTTAAGCGAGTTTGAAGACTCATCTACGTTTTGCTGTTTCCAATCATACAGGATGGTATAGCCGTTTGGTTTTTCTACACTCACTCTTTGAAAACATGGCATGTGAACCAAACAACTCAAAAAACAAACGATCTTTGTTTAATAATAACATAAACTAGTAATGCAACCAGAATACTATGTAATGTTCAAATTTTTCAAGAAAAAAATAATATATATATATATATATATATATATATATATATATATATATATATATATATATATATATATATATATAGTGAAATGATTGAAGTGAGCTGTTTCAATTGTTCAGGCTCAACAGTCTGTAACAAGCTCCAACATTAAAATATCAAAACATTCAATGATAAACATATATTGAGTTCTGAGATCAAATAATATGTATGTAGGCCCTAATATCATCTTGAGTCCTACATTCATCTATTCAGTGGATGGTTATAAGTAGTTGTGTTGGAACATTGGTTTATATTTAGAATTTATTGCAATGAATATTCTTCGTTTATTTATATTTATATGTATATATATATATGTATATTTCTGTCTTGAAGTCATAAAAATCCAGCTGTTCGATTGCAGACAGCATTACTTGTCTCTCGTATCGTTGAAAACTTATGTAATCATGGGCGTATGAATTTATCGAATCGTAACAATATTAATCGTGGATCTGGTGGCAGTAATAATAATAATCCTACTGTTGGTCGTTTATCATCATGGGGTTCAACAGGAAACTTGAATTCTGTTTCTTCAGCTAATTTATCTTCATCGAATTCAGTTTTTCTAGGTGGATTTATGGAACGTTTAGTTAGTGCACTTAGTCAATTTCTCACTGATGGAAATCAAGAAACACGGTAAGTTATATATATAACATATAAGTTTCATATATTTTCAGTTCGCTCTAAACAACTATCTTTTAATAATTGCTTGTATGACCCGTGTATCAATCAAAGGGTATGTATAAAAAACAGGACTCTCTAACGCATTACTTTGTAGTTGTGCAAATTGGTATTTAACAGTAAAGAACATTCATCAGCCATTACTGTTTGATCATAGGTGCCTTCAAAATAGTGTTTGGGCAAGTTGGGATGTTGATATAATTGTTATTAATCATCGGTTGATGTGATTAAGACATGTTACCTATGTTTAACTCCGATCTCACCTCGGCATGTGATGTTGGCTGGCGTTGAAGTAGGTTGTAATAAGCCTAGGAGAGGTCAACCCAAAAGTAACATCGTGTGAAGTCGTTAATCATTAGTTTAACCCATATTGGTAGTTACACGCTACCTTGTTGAAGTTTAGCTGATTATTATGATTAATAATCTGAGACGATGAGTCACATGCATCAGAATCGGTCACAATGATAGATGCTCAATTTTTTACTTTAGTTTTCTTCCGCCTTGACTTTTTGTGTCAACTTCTCAGTTCATATTCTTTCTTATTATCATTGCTGCTACATTATTTGAACCTCTTTTTCTATTTTTCCTCTTAATCTTATGTCGTTGTGCTACTGCGATATGACAACTTGACGACACACATAACTTTGCCAGGCTGTATTTTATGTCCGACTAATTGCGTTATCTATTTATTTTTACTTGAGTGGATAATTTTAAAGAATTTTAACTTTGTCATTGTGAAGAATGTAATTGGTATTTAATCACTCTTACTATCGTCTATTATTTTAACTCACAAGTTAGTTACTACCTGGACTCAGTAGGTAAATGGATAACGCGACAAAATTTGAAGCGAGTCCTACTGAGTTCGAGTTTCGGAGTGAACATCAACTCTAGGATGCAGGTACATCCAGTTGATGAACCTTAAATAGGACGAAATACGTGTCCTGGATTCCACTGATACCCACCATCTATTTATTTTTATAGTGCTTATGACTTAAGGCGAATATCGAAGCCTGACACAGGATGCACATATGTCAATGAGAGATTGGTTATTTTCAGTCTTCATTGTCAATGGTAAGATTCAAATAACCAATACATAATGGATGAAACTTCACCCGGTTGCACAGGCTAGTGGCTATCTAGACACAGTAGCTAAGTAGAAAACGCGATGACGTTTGAAGCAAACAGTACTGGGTTTGTGTGAACATCAACTCTGAGATGCTAGTACATCCAGTTGACGATTCCAGAATAAGATGAAACGTGCGTCATGGATTTCACCACTAGCCACCATCCATCTTCGTTTATAATGTTTATAAGTTTATTTCATGTTTCATATTCATTTTTCCGCTATATTTTTTGATCCTATATTCAAATATTATTTTTATTCTTTAACCTGTTAAGTTGCATTCAAACTCTCAAAGTTTGAATTAAGTCAACAGATGAAGTAATTTACGATGATTGTCATCATAGTAATGTTATATAGCAAACATAAAGTTTTCGTTGCTGTACATAGTTGATTTCTTTAAAATGTAAACTACTGACTTTTGCTTCATTTTTCTACGTTGATTTTACTTTCATGGATTCATTGTTGACTACTGCAGTCACCTGTTTGAATTATTTTATAAACTAATACAAAATTATCAGTATGGGGATTTGTTGAGATTATAGTATTTTCTAAGTCAAATTCCCGAATCGATCTAACCTCGGCTACCATTGAAAACCTCAGAAATTCAAATATGAGAATATTACAATCCCCACATGCTGATAATAATCATGTTTTCACTAGTGACTAGCTTCAAGATGGAAATCCTGGAGTTGTAATGAGAAGTCGCGGCCAATGTAGTCCAATCCGTATCGGATGGAGACAGTTATCCACCTCAGACAAAGGATGGAGGATTGCGCAAGATCATGGATCGACTAAAGTTAGACATTAACACTGTAGGATGCCCGTCCAATGGTCTTGAAGTTAGACGTTCGCATATTAGACCGCAGGGCCTGGGTTCGAGTCCGGCATGTGAGATCGTAGACGCTCACTATTGAGTAATTCCATACTATAATGAAACAACTGTCCAGTGCTTCCAGGTTTTCAATGATGGTCTAGCTTACATCGACTCGTGAATTTAACTGTGACAATGCTGAATTGAATAATAATTTGATTTAATTTAAATATTGATATGAATTGTTTTCGATCATTTTATTCCACTCTGAATGTATATAAAAATTCTTAACTTTAATTCATTAATGGAGTTGCTCATGTTGTATGTATGCGTGTTTAATCATCTCAGTATGAAACGTTTTGTTTTAACTCAATCTATGTGTTTATATCTTTCTCGAACGTGTAACTATGGTTACAGGTGTTGTTGTGTTTTGTTTTTGTTGGAAAAAAGTAAAATAATATTCAATGAAAATATTCAGGACTTAATGATTCTTAACAGATTATGTATAATTATTCTTTTTTCTATTAAGATTATAATGCAAAACATGAAAATCTTGTATAGGTTGAAGAGATGGTGGTTTGGGTCAAATTAAAGATACAACACGAACTCTACTATAATTTCACTGTTAGTTCTTCTACATAGTTGTAGAAGTTCAAAACTCTTCGTTGGCTAAATATTATTTTGGGTGTAACTTAACAAGTGTTGTTTATTCATTTGTTTTTTTTGTGTTTGTTTTATGATATCTGGTGTATTTCAATTAGGTAATTTTTAATGATTGGATCTAGATTTAGATTTTTTATATTGAGTGCCTTTTTGTTTGGATGATGTATCTGTAATATTATTAAAAAATGTTGTGAATATTTCCGGAGTTGAAGTTGCACATCACGAATAGACTTAGGTTAGACAATTGTTGAAGGGAGCATTGGACTATCACTTCTTCGTAGTATGGGACCTCTGTGGATTGCACATTCAAAACTCCACCTAAAACGGCATTTAAATTACTGATTTAACATTGATTGGTTTACATTTCTAATTTTAGTTAATTAACTATATTGTGCGACCACCATGCAATTATCATCAGTGATATTTTTCACCCTACATGTTGACTATGGTGTAAAAGTTCAAATTCAATAATCCTCATTATACCGTATAACAGTGTATATGTACTTATTATTTACTAACATCAAAGGTGATTCTCGAAGTTCTAATAACAAACTGTAACCAGTGCAAACGAATATGAGAGCACAATATCACGAATTGACTGGAATAAAAAATCTCAAGTCAGTGATATGAAGTTTAAGCGTTCTTCGCGCAGTCTAAAAGTCTTACGTATCTGTAAACCTTAGGAGTCGATTTTGCTTTATGGGATGAAAACTCGTGTCACATTATCATTAACAACAAACTGATCTTAACTGAACTACTACCTGTAAGCACTGGACTGTCGTATGGGATACATCGGTTGTGGGCATTCACAACTAATCATCTGGGAAGTAAATCCAAGCTGTTCGGTCTCATGTCAATCTCTAGACTTCTGAGCTCTTATACCATGGTTCAATCAGTTCACAATATTGTGCAAGCTTCATCCATCGCCTCCAATGAATAACTGTCTCATATTAATGTACTAGTAATAACCATGCGCTCACAAGTGATAAGCTTCAAGATACAACCAAGCCGATTGTGTGACAGTTATTTACTGCCGGCAGTCGAAGATAATGGGATTCAGAAAAATTGTACCAGTTCAGTGGTCTAGAGGTTAAGTGTTTTCTGTGAGAGCGAATGGCTTGGGTTCGCTTCTCAGATAATTGGTTCTTGGTGGGCACTACTGAGGAGTCTCACACTGGCACGAAACGGCAGTTCAGTGCTTACAAGTTTTCAGTAGTGTTTTAGCTTATATCAGTTCGTGACTTAAACTATAAGTATTACCATCAGGCTGAATCCTTTTCTCAGTACAGTCTTCACTGAACCTCCTTCTTGTGTAGTTCTTCCAAGCTGTGGAGCAAGCTATCTATTCAATATATAATGTAGTCGAATGGTTACATTTTTCTTCCACACCTGTTGAAATGTCATTATGTTTCCCTTTCCTTGGTATATACACTATTTGTCTTCCCTTAAACCTTGAGATTAAAATTACTTTATACCTTTCTAATTCTTTCTTCCGGTACTATATCCTTATACACAACCTTTCTTTTATATATTACTACCATTAAACTAACTAGCTCTGTGAATTTGATGTTCATCTCATTGTGCTAATGAGGTATGGCAACTTGGACCGATGCATAAATATGCTGAATGACTAACTGACTTCCTTGGTATGTTACAAGGTATACGTGTATATCTAAAATGAGAGAGCATTAAGTTTTACTTTTGTTTTATTAAAGTAGTATTCTACTACCAGCTTCGTATCATGAATTTATTTGATTTAATTTTTACCTAAAATAGATATTATGGACGTCGTTTATTAAGTACATTGATGCAACATCCTGATTTTGAGAGAACTGCTCAAAGACAGTTAACTGGTCAGCCTCTTCGAGCTGTAAAAGAGGCGATTGATCAAATTCATCAAAAAGTAAGTTTTTTTACAAAGATTTGTATGTGCAAGAAGTGAGGCTTTCTTCTAAAGAAATATATGATCATAGTTCTGTTAAAGTCAATTGTATCAGTTGATCGGAACTGATATTTGTTTATCTGAGTACATTGTTCCTGAACTTTCATCAATAGATGGCGTAAGCTGAAAACTACTTCGCAGACAACGGATTATGTAATCACTGTTTACATTCGAATTATCTAAATTATCGGAAATCTCTTGTGAATAATAAGTATTCTGTTGATACAGTGATACATTTTTAATACAATCTTGTGTTATAAATAAGAACTTTCGTCTAAATTTGAACGAATAGTTTCACAATATTTGGGCGCCGAGTTAATATGAGACATTAAAGAGGAAGAATGTATTTGTAAAATCTCAGCGAAAGAATATGAAGTAAATCCAACGTTTCGCCTGGTAATCTGGTCCAAGCTTTTTCAAGAAAAATATAATCAAACAACAAAATTATCGAATATAAATAGGTACATGGTTCTTTGGTTTCCTGTATACTGAATAAGTCATCTAATCAACGTTAACAATGTTTAAAGTAGGTAATTGCATTAGTGTGTAAGAGACATGTTGTGTCACAATTGATTGATCACTAGGTGGCGATCAATGTCATGCGTGTCTAGTCCTTATTAGTGCAGATCGAATGCTATCGATCATGTTGCAATGTGGCCACCAGTCTAAGTGACTCGATATTGAGGACACTATATATTGAGATTAGATGGTGGTTGGAGGTAGTCGACAGGAAACCCTGGACCTAGGTTCCGTGCTACTTGGCACTCGTCAGCAAGGTGTACCTGTAATCTTCAGTGAACTGGTGCTCGTTAGTGGATTCGATCTCGTGTCATTCAGCTTCACAGTCAGAGACGTTACCACTGAGCTATCCGAGCCGCGACATATGGTGTGTTAAGATAACAGATTGCGTGTATACGTAAGTGGTGTGAGAAGAAATTTCATTCAACTATATATTGTCTTCGGTCTGTGTATATTAGGAAAACATATCATTTTATATATGATATGAATCAAAAATGTCACAGCATGCATTAAATGAAGATAAATAAACAAGATAGGGAAACAAGATAAAAGACTGAATTCAAAGAGGAATGTATTTGTAATTGAAAGTTTGTGTTATTTTAATGTTCCAGTCAATTGTTTAACATATTCAGATAAGATAACTGATTTGAACCGTTGAATGTATCATTTATTGATAAGTTAATATGATATAGATCGATAGAATTGAATAAGGAGTTCAGGTTTACTTATTAATTATTAGTTGCCATGGGACAGCCAATCGTATTCCATCTCTCCTGTTAATACTGTTTGAATTATCCCATATATGTAGGGCTTCGGCTGTTAGTCGTTCTTTGTAAGAATTAAAGCCTTTTTGAATGATTCTTGCACCATTGAAATCCATTGTATGACCCGATTCTATCGAGTGTAATGCTATTGCTGATCTGTTCTCAAGTTATCTTTACATCATCTGAGGATTTAAGAATGTGTTTTAAGCACAGTTTGTGTCCCTTCACCCTCAAATTATGTTGTTTAAAGCGTTTGTGTTTATCCAAAGTTATCCTGCTTTTAGTTCGACGATCAGTTTGAATTTTCATCTTAACTAATATGTCTGTGTCCTCAAATTTACAATCTGATTTGCAAAAAGGGTTAAGACGATTCACATGAATATATTAATTCTATATGAAAAATTATATAAAATACATATATGGGTGTGGACTACATTACCTTGAACTATTACATATTCATGTCAAATTTTGCCTGGTTTATACAACTTTGCACTCATATAGCACTATTTCGTAGTTTCAATTGTTGATCTGATTGTGATATAATAGTTCTCAATATAATAATATCAACATCACTTGGTGATGGCACTAAACTAAATTTAACATATATTGAACATATAAATAACATAATCTGTAGGTATAGGGTTATAGAAATAATTGAATTTCATTGAAATATATGTTGAACAACCACTGAAAACCTGGAAGCACTGAGCAGCCGTTTCTTCCAAGTATTGGACTTCTCAGTAGTGCACATCTACGATTCTGCATGCAGCGATAGGACTCAAGACCTCTAATCTAGTGCACGAGCACTTAACCTCTAGACCACTGAGTCGGCATCCAACTTAAATTGGTTTAGGATTTCCATGAGGTTCAACAATATCAACAACTTTTGATTGATGTTAGACCACCACTGAAAACCTGGAAGCACTGGACGGCCGTTTCGTTCTATTGTGGGACTCCTCAGCAGTGCGCATCCACGATCCCGCTCGCAAGATCCGAACCCAGGGCCTTCAGTCTCGCGCGCGAACGCTTAACCTACTGGACCACTGAGCCGGCATCCAATGATCTTAATGTCTAACCTCAACCCTATATTTGCAGTTATCGATTCTTCCATAGTTATTTTTCTTATTCGTCCTCCTTGATGAGAGTTTCCCGATATAACGATCTTATAATTTAACGTATGTACACCGATATTTTAACAATTATTACTATCATGTTCAGGTTGTTGAAGCAGCTGAAGAGAAACCACAAAATAACACCACTTCAAGTTGTTATTGCAATGTTTATTGTTCCTGGTTTATGATTAACATTATGTGTTGTAAGATAGCACTATATATAGAATTATATGTCATTTTAATTTTATTTTCATCATAAAGTTATCAAGAAAAACTATCAATAATACCATCATCTTGTTTAAAAACATTATTTCACGTAACCATGGTGTAAATCCCTGATTTAACTTGTATTATTATTATTATTTCTTTTTCATTCTGTATTATAGGGCGTTGGAGATTTGCCTTCTTCAATGTCATCTTCAGCTGGTTCTCGCCGTAGGGGGTTTTCACCAGCGACAAGATCTCGTGGACCCAGTGCTGGTGGTCTTGGTTCCAAAGCCTAATATATATATATATCCCTCCCATTTGCATATCCTCTAATTTCTGAATACATTTTCAACTTTTGGTCATTGCTAGTCTCAACTTTCTTGCAAATCCGCTCATATATATATATATATATATATATATATATATATATATATATATATATATATATATGTTGTTTTATGTCTCTCCAGTCTTGTATTAATTTAACTAATACATATTCCCATCTGGTTTTTTGTTCAACTGTAAATGTTTAGTTTTCTCCCAAGAGTTTTTTTTCTAAATGAAAGGATAAAAAGTAGAATAATGATTTTTGTATTCTTGAAGTACACAGTGTTGAGTGATTGAAAACCTTTTTCTTATTATATATATATATATATATATATATATATATATTACTATTAAGTAGTAACAATAGAGAGTAGAATAATAGTGTTATTGTCCTGTGATTTTTTGTCTAGTTCACGTCTTGTATTTTTGTAACACTATTTTATATTCCTATCCTCTTAACCATGAAACAAAAACAAATAAACAAAACAGATTGTCACTGTGTAGTGACTAATAATTTGAATTTTTTTGTTTGTTTGTCTCCAAGATAGTCTAATTTATTTATTTAGTTTCATTCAACAGGAAAATTGATTGATTAATTGCACAATACTTTATTCATATAAAAGTGATATTGTTTTGATGAAGAGAGAAAAAATTACATTATTTTGTTAAAAGTATAAATCTCTCAGTTGTTACGTAATTGTTTGTAATCTTATGTTAATGATACATTGTTGCTTACTTCAATCTTCTTTACTTGATTTTCTTCTTTTAGTATTTATAATTTTTACTTAGAATTGTTATTGATAGTAACTAAGTAAATATTAATGATAATTTTTTTTCATCTTTAATCAATCGCTCATGATAGAGTAGTTACTGTGGATTAAGCACATTCTTTCTTATGTTAACACTTTACATTTTAGTATGCACGTACAAGTTTATAACTTGAACTATTTTATATTCTTTATTACTGTATTAAAAGTGATCACGTTTGTTCCATATCATTTCTATTATCTATTATATCAGTTGTAGATTAATCTTTGTTTATTCCATATATATATTTGATTGTTCTTCTTATTTTTTTAAATCGTATCCTATTAACCTATCAATTCAATGTTTTAATCCATATTAATACATTGAATTGATAATAGTTTGTTTAAAAAGAAGAAAAGTTAAGTACATTGAATTGCTCACGAATATAATGTCTTTTATAATTGATTTTTATTTTGCTCATAGTGTCATAATTGTCATAATTATCTTATATATATATATACTGTAATATCCTTTGATATTAGGTCAATGTTTTATTATTATTATTATTTTGTTGTTGTTGTTGTTGTTGTAAACAAAACAACAAGAAAGGAGGGGAGTATCTATTGACTTATTCCTTTTTCTTTCTTTTTGCATGTATTCAGTTATGGTTCCATATGTGCCTCGTATAGAATTAGAGAAGGTAAACTCAACTACACATATCGATAACGTCTCTCTTTTACCACCCCCCCTCTCTCCTATATATTGATAGATGTGATCATAAAATTTATTTGACTTTATTCATTTATCATAACGACGGTTATTATTACTAATATTACAATTATCGTCTTATTGAGATAGTTTTTTTTTGCTTCAATAAAAGGTTGTTTAGTTTTTCCCTTCTTTTTTTTCTTTCTTTCTTTAAAAAGCACAACAATGATAGTGATTTTTCACCTACCAATTTGTTACTATCTCTCTTGATGTATTTGATTAGATCTTGTGAATATAAATTAATATGATGTATTGAATGAATTCAAGCACAAATCACACAGAAAACCTATTTTGATCTTTATATATAGATATTTTTTTTAAATAAAAAAAAGAAAAGAGAAGAAAAGAAGAGAAAAAAAACTTTCAAATAACTGTCAGTGTTTGTGTTTTTTTGTTGTTTCTTTTATGTTTTAATTTTGTTTCCCTTGGAACAATAAAATCGCATTATACAATACGATTTTATTCCTAGAAACAATATGGATAAACAACCCATATCAACATGAATGGACCTATACATATATATATATATAAATAAAATATATATTTGAAGTTACTTTGCAAACATTTTGGTTTTATGTTTTGATTTAATTTCTCATTGTGTATGTTTATGATTGTTTGTATGGAGTAATGTTTATGAATGACATCATTATTATAATTATTTGTTATGAAATGACCAATGGATTTAATCCTGTAGCCTTAAGTTGACAATCAATGATTATTTCCATACATATTCTGTTGATTATTCTGATTCATAACAACCTTCAAGTTTATAAGTCAATAATTGACCAAGATTACTTACTTACGCCTGTTACTCCTCGCAGAGGACTATAGGGTGCCTACCAGCACTCTCCATCCAACCCTATCCTGGGCAATCATTTCCAGCTTTTTCCGGTTTTTATTCATCCTTTACATATCTACTTCTATTCCCCAATATAATGTGTTCTTTGGCCTTCTTTTTTTCCGCTTCCTTTTAGGATTCCAAGTTAGGGCTTGCCTCTTAATGCAGTTGTGGTGATTTTCGTAATATGTGTCCTATCCATTTCCATCGTCTTTTCCTAATTTCCTCTCTAAACTGGAAGCTGGTTTTTTCTCTATTGATCAAGATAAATATGCAGACATTTAAAGGATAGGCAAAATTATTTCTTTTCAAAAAGCTAGAATGAATGAATATGAGTATTTCAAGGAGTCATTGTTACTTTATGTTATCAATAGAGACTACTTTTCTGTTATCCTTGTCTTGTATTCAATTTATTAGTGTTTTGTCACATATGTACTTGTGTAGTGGACAAGAACATATGTGAGGACAATCGAATATATTTGAACATAAAGTTACAGAACATCTTAGTAAAATCTCAGAACCATATAATAAATACTCCATTTGTAAAATGTCATTCGGTTGTCTCAAACTTGACTGTTCCTTTCGCAAATATCAGTCAATCGTCTAAGATTTCATTGTTCTTTCGTTTCTGAACAAATAATTCTTTGTTCTCGTTTTCTTTTCTTCGTTCTTCTTAACCTTCTTTCTCCAGACATTTCAATTTCGATTGATGAAAAATACTACTTATATCTGTCGACATCTGTAGCACACACTACACTCGTTGTAAGTATACCTGTCCTTTTGTTGTTGTTTTTTGAAAAAAATATTCAACAGTAGGATTCGAAAGCAATGTTGAAAATATTCAATTGAATTTCTTTCCTTTTCCAGTTTATTAAAATCATAATCTATTCGAGACTAGTTTAATTTCCTTTGGTGCTCATATCAATGTATGTAGTAAACAGTGATCTTATTTCGTTCAAATATTGTAAAAGTAGCTCTTCTTCCTCAGGTCGTTTCAGTCAGGTTTGTTATGCTCCTAACGAAATCCTAACTTAAGATGGTTATAAGAAATTTGAAAGCATAATGGCTTGATATAAAACTGCATAGCATTTTTCATTATGATGGAACCTGTAGTGAAATCCGAATAATCTCAGATTTTGATAAGCTACAAACAGCTATACAAAACTGCATTACGATTATTTACAGTCACGTATTAGATATTTACTATCAAAGTTTGATAACCATGTTATCGTAATATGTGATATGAATTTCGAATAATTGTTGCGTTATTTAGTCATTTAAACGGATTTTTTGATTTAGTTTTATTTGATGAATGAAATTCGCAAGAACTGGTGAATAGAAGTGTGGATTAATGGACCACGGATCAATAACTAATATCCTTCTTTGCTTACGAGTCCACAAATTCATTGAACTAAGTGGCTCGTGATTGTAATTCATTGTGTTTAACATTAAGCGATTGGCAAGAAGCTTTAGACCTATAAGTGTACCAAGTAGTTTAACATTTATTATTAAAAGAAACTTACTTTATGGTTCTTTGTAATGCTATTTCAATAAAAACATGTATTTCACTTCATGTTAACTGAAAAATGAAGGTTATGAATAGTTGTCTAGAAGTAGAATGATTATTTGATTCGTATCATCACTACAAACATCACTTTTATACCCACTATGTATTCCAAGCATTAGCTTTTGGAGATTGTTGTATATCGGGAAACGCGTTGATACATTTTTAGTTGTTAATTAATCAGTAGACTTTCTGTGAAACAGAATGTTTTATTAACTTTATTCAATTAATTTATTTAGTATTGTCGATTAGATTATCTACTTTACATATATTAATGATTCATTAATGTTTTGTAATCTAGCCCATGTCTAAGCATAATTAACACTATCCATCAATTACTTTTAATATCGAAATAAGTAATATTTACTAATGAGTTTATAGGTATCGATGCCAAAGTTGAACTTGATAGTTCCAAATAAATTGAGCGTTGGGTAGAAAGTTAATAATAAATCCATTTTTTTGTAATATTCCAATGGGAAAAAAAATTGTATTTCCGACGTTTCGCGACTTAATGTAAGCCACTTCTTCTGAGTACATTGAAGAAATGGCTTACACTAAGTTACAAAATGTCAGAAATACAATTTTTCTTCTCATTGGAATATAAAAATAAATGTATTTCTTATTAATATTTAATAAATAAATATGTACATGTTTCTATCGGTCACGAGTCATGTTGGTAGATGCAGACTACTTGGTTGGGGTCCGCGTGACTATCGTAACCAATGGTTGTAGACTCTGGGTGATATGGCTCAGAATCTATCACAATGACGAAGGTGTATACACTCTCTGTCTTCCCCTAAACTAAGAGATTAAAATCGCTTCATATCTTTCTTTCTACGAATTAATTCTTTCTTCCTGTACTATATCCTTATATGCAATCTTTCTTTTGTATGTCACCACCTCTGAATTAACTACTTTTATGAATCCGGCGTTCATCTTGTTGTGTTAATGAGGTGTGGCAACCTGGACCGATGCATATATATGCCTGGTCTGACGTTGTAGCTGACTGACTGTTGGTTACGAACTCAAGTAATTAGTGAATTATCCTGTGGTAAGAACATTTTTAGAAGCTTTATGTGTTAGTTGTTATTTGATAGTTAAAGTTATTTGTAGACAAGTCATCAGTTTACTTTAAAGATATATTACAATT